GGTAATTACAGCCTCCAACTTTTGCGCTTTATTTGCCTCAAATTTGTGCCACTCGGATGTCACATATGGCCACGAATAAGGTGAAGGGGAACTTTTATGGCACCAGCTACTTCCTTCTCTTTGTTCTTGTCTCTTTTATGAGCTATTCAGGATCCCAAACAACAGACCAAACAGTGTTGCACGTTTAGTCTGCAAGAATTCACCCTATTGTGGAAATCAATGAAGTGGACCAATAGGCTGCTGTAGCCAGAGAGACCGACTGCGTTTGAACAGACGTTGTCAATAACTGTATCGATTATTTTATTGGTATCTATTATGGCCTGTTGCGAAAAAAGCAACGATAATGTGAATTATATTGTTTCAAATGAATAGTGAATGTATAGTGTTTTATTTTTCATTCTTTTTAAAGGCGATACAAATAAAATAAAATGCTTGTGTTACCTATATAAAAACTGACTTTCATCAAGTGTTCAAAAAGTAGTTTAATTACGTTGATTACAGAAAACTGAGAGTGAAATTAAGCTCGTCTCTTTTAAATCATTAATGTGGAATTTTAAGCATTTAGAGGCAACACACTTCGCCCAGACATGGCGCTTAAGTCTTGCTAGATATTTGCAATACACCTCTAAAGTGATTTCCAAACCCGTCATTTGCTGCTGAGATAATTATCGGTTCCCCTTTCCTCCGTGTGTGTCAGAGGAATGTCGAAGTATGATCAGAACAGGAAAACAGAAAGAAAAAAGACTGGAACATCTGCAATAAGCATTTTAACATGTTGCATTTTACTGTATATCTAACTCAACCTTCTGTGCATTAAATTTAAAGCATACTGTTTATTGCTGTTAGTTAAAGAGACTGTACCTGAGAGCTGTTAGCTCATAGTGAACACCGGGCTCAGTTGGCCTGTGAAGGATTTTGTCTGGCGTGTGCTGGACAGTCGCATAACTGATTGGATTTTTTCAGAGTGGCAGAAATGATCTTCTTATAGACGAAGTTCTTTACTAGCCGGCCGGACCCATACACGCTATTTCCCTTTGCTTGATGCCTCCACATGCTGTGCAGAGCTTTCATTTCTGAGCCAGTGAGATTGCTGCTCGTGTTGCAGGGCTTTGCTGCAGAGATAGTTGTTGGTGAGCTGGGGAACGTCACTTGTTTTATTGCCCTCACAGAAGAGAGACCATAAACGCAGTCTTACCACCTACACCCTCCCCCAGTTCACTGCAAAAGAATGGAAATTGCTCACATGCCAGATAATTCATACACAATGGAAACATTAACAGTATGTTTGGAAACTCGTCTATATAGCTGAGATAAACAATAAATACCAATATTCATTTTAGTTTATATTCATAGGCAGGGCGTCCTGCGGGATGAGGGCATGTAGTTATTATCGCCCATCTCTGCGGTGGTGTTGTGAAATTAAAACTGAGTTTTGGAAACACACACACACACACACACACACACACACACTCAACAACAACTCAGCATCACAGGAAAGGTTCTCGCTTTATATCTCAGTAAATAAAATTAACAGATAATGTCCTCAGTTTCACTCTTTAAGACACCTTTAGAGTTGCGTTCACGTGTATTTTTATGCAAATGTTCCGCCTTCCTTGAATGTGATCACTCTGTACTGTATGACATTGTCTACGTTTTGCATCATACCCCCCCCCCCCCCCCCAACACCACATTCTCCTAAACTTAAAGACAACAATGTCTAATCCAGCCAAGCTGTGTTGTGTGCCACTCCAACTCTACGCTGTGTTTATCGGCATTTAGCGCTAATGTCCAAGCTCTGAGCTAAAAGCTACAGTTTCTCCTCAACTCCTGCCTCTCAATTGGTGGAGAATGGTCAGCTGACGTTGTCATATTGTCTCTCACCGAGCCAAGCCTCGGCTATAACACTCGGGTTTGTGCGTCTTAACCGGAGATTGGAAATTAATAATATTGAATCCTCAAAGTAGCCCACGTCCAGTTAGAGAGGCAGAAAGTCGAGGAGAAAAAAACGAAGACCTTGGAGAAAGGTGTGGTTGGTTGACACAGACGGGAAGGAGATTTACTGAGAAGGAGATTGAAAAGAGACCGATAAAGAAGTGGGGAGAGTTGGAGAGAGGGTTACAAGCAAGGTATGAATTCTTATTTCGCAAACCCGTCGCTCTCCTGCCATTTATCCGGTGGTCAAGATGTTTTGCCTAACGTACCCCTAAACTCCACCACCTATGACACAGTCAGACATTTTTCGTCGTACGGTGCCGCTGTGACCCAGAATCGGATATATGCACCTTTCTACTCTCCTCAAGATAATGTCGTTTTTGGGTCTGGCAGGGCACAGTATGAATATGGATCAAACGTGTTTCTTCAAGACAAGGACGTGCTCCCTAGTTGCAGGCAAACAAACATGGGACTCAATACACAAAGCCACATTGCTCAAGAGTACAGTTTGGATCAAGGAAGAGCAGGAGCGCAGGACCAGAAAACCAACATCCCGATCTACCCGTGGATGCAGCGAATGAACTCACACAGCGGTGAGTTTTACTACGACAAATAAATTAAGGAAATGGGCCAGTTTTACGATATGTCTTACCAAGAGAGTAAGTTACTTTTTATGGCCCCATAAAACATTACTGTATCCCCTCGACCTGTAGATGGGCCTTTTACATGTGCAAACAAACAGCTTTCATTTTAAGACAGATATAGTAGCTATAATCAGTAGCGTGAGGCAGAGATAATGCATTATGATGCTTTTATTATTTTAGATAATACAGCAAAAGGTGCCCTTTGAGATAGGAGGTGGCTTGCAGTTAAAATGTGTTTATTTTTCTTCTTGGATTTGGATTACAATTGTGCTTCTAACAGTGACGTTAAACCTATGCTTAACTGCCTCAAAGTATTATTAGACTACAGACAGAAGCATTTTTTTTCTATTTAGTTCAAACGTGACATCGCCTTGCAAATGATTAAATTAGTGACTTCACTTTGTATCTCAGCAGGAGTGGGCTACGGGACAGACCGACGCAGAGGACGTCAAATATACTCTCGCTACCAAACGCTGGAGCTGGAGAAGGAGTTTCATTTCAACCGCTACCTGACCAGGCGCAGACGCATCGAAATCGCAAATGCGCTTTGTTTAACGGAGCGGCAGATCAAAATCTGGTTTCAGAACCGACGCATGAAATGGAAGAAAGAGAGCAACCTGACCTCCACGGTGACTGGAAGTGAACAGACAGGAGCCTCTCAAGAGGAGCAAGAGGAACGCCATGGCGCGATAGAAGAAGGGAAGGATGAGGACAAGAAGAAAGAATAGTTGTTAAAAAAAAAAGAATATGAGGAGGGGAAAGAACACCTAATGACCATTAAAACCCAACATAACTACCTAAAAAATCTGTATGGACTTGAGAGCGACTTCACTGCATGATGGCTACCCCGCAGCTCTCCCACTTATATCCCATGATGACGACAGGAGTGTTGAGCCTTAGAAATCCAAATCATTTCAGCCACAGTATGGCCAATGTAACATTTGGAGCTCCGATTGTTGTTGTTTTTTATTTTAATTATTTTTTTATTGCAATGTCACACTTGTGTATCGTGAAAATAATAAAATAAATAGCCTATTAATTTCTACGTTATTTCCCATGCCAGTAAAATCTATGTATTTATCCCCCCCCCCCCCCCCCCCCCCCCCCCCCCATCCATCACTGTGAACTCTTTGATCACCTCACAAAATACAGTGTTGGCCAGACTTAACTCAATATTGTGTATGCACATCCCACGCAAGGAAAGAACCGGGCGGACACTTCATTTGATCACAGTATAACCAAGTACTTGAATCGGCCGCAAAAAAGTGTATTGCATAAACATGAAAGTTGCACGGATATAGACCACAGTCCACACACACACACACACACACACACACACACACACATAACTGAAATGCCTGTATATAATCAAAGTAACCATATATTATGTAAATCCTGTGAGGACTTCTGTGCATTTAGCAGCTTTGATAGGCGCTGCATAAGCTAAAATCGCGCTTATAGCCCCCCTTTTTTGACCATTTGACACAATAGGCTTTCCTTGTGAGATAGATTTGTACACTAGTAATTGATCACCTTTGTTTGTGAGTTACAGATTCATGTTTTGTCATAATTGTGTATCATGGAATAAAGTATTTGTAAAACTTTCACCCTCTTCTTGTGTCTTTGGGAGCACTGCACTTTCAGACAGGAGCCAGACGACCGCAGAAAGAAAGGTTTCGTAAACTACAAGCACCAAACTCAGTACGTGATTGTAGAGCCTTTTAAATTGTATCCTGACCTGTACGGTCAGCAGAAGCTGTAAATGCAAGGAGGTAACAAATATGCTAATGGCGTGATTTTCAAGCAAATTGTGGCCTTTGAAATATTAAATAATACATTTTCTGATTGGAATCATGGAAGCATGGGGCTGATATTTGTCAAATATCCAGTTAAACACTAACAATACCGTAGCTGTATTAGTATACATAACTTCTAGCGACATTTAAGTTTCAAGGCCATATGCATAAATATATTTTAACCAAGTGAGCTCTTTAAATCCTCATTATTATTATTATTATTATTATCATCGTCATCATCATCATTATTATTATTATTATTATTATTATTATTATTATATGGGACTGTTGGTGGACTCGCAGTGTGTCAGGGGCAGAGAGCACTGGCCGGTCCTGACCGTCCTGCCCCATACCAGACACCAGATGACGCTCTTGTCTTACTGTCCTGCCCTTTTTTGCGCTAAAGATCTCTGCCTGGTCCTCAACAACCAACAGCTCAAAGTTTACCGGACACGTTTCTCCTATTCATCAATATCCCCATTGAGTATCAAAGCCAATTTATGACTGGCCAACATGTGCACGTGATCCCACACAAATACCCCATATTTGGGCAGCGCACGTCGGATCAAGAATTTAAAAAAAAAGATACCAAAGCCTACTCCACCTATAAATCCTGGATTATTTTTTTAGGGCAGACAGCTCTGAATTTTCCAAAAGCGGCTACAAAGAAAAGCAATGATCAACAAAAACAAGGAAATAACCGCAACATACATCCCGCAGCCCTCACTAGTTTAAAAAAGAAAGTATCGGTGATAGTTCAAAATGAGCTCTTATGTTGACAGCTCCAATCTCAGGCAAACAAGCGAGACAACTCCTAACACTATGTTTAGTTTCGATCTATCTGGGCGCAGGTCCAGCCGCTATGAGGGTGTTAATGTGAACGGGATATTCACTTGTCCCGTCCCCACGACCTCTGTTGAACGGGAGGAGATGAAAACTAGCCTGCGTGGCAACACGGATACTCCTCTCCCGTCAGGACCACAGATAACCATGGTCTCCAGTAGCTCGTCCGTGGACGCAAGCGGACTTCACTACGGCAGTAGTACGCTGCTGGGACTAGGGGCAGACAGAGACCCGGAGAGGAGCGCGAAATCCGGCGGCCAGGAGAGCGAGAGAAACGCGGAGAACACGCAGGCGGTGAAACGAAACACAAAAGTCAACCAGCGTCAGGACAGTGAGCAGCGGCCACAGATTTACCCATGGATGACAAAACTGCACATGAACCACGGTAAAGTTTGCCTATTTTCTAAAGTGCGACTAAGATGCTTTCCCTTATTCACTCTTTACGCTGCAACACTTCTTTTCGCCCGTTCCAGTTTCCCTCTTGAGTTTTATAGGCCAAACGCAGGAAATAATAAAAACTCGCGGTCATAAATTTTATGACAAAGGCATCCATTGCTCGTAAACCTGCTCTGTTACGGTGAAGAGGTGATCTGCGGGGTGATTTATGGTGGTATAATTGGATAAGAGAACAAAAATGTGATAAAACTATGAAATAATATTTACAAGTACAGCTCCAAGTAACAGTTTTTGCCTTGCTTCGTTTATAGTCTTAGTCCAGCTACATGTTTTACATGATCAGGCTTCTATGTGTGGGAGAAGCTTTAGCCTTAAATTGAACTCTGGGAACCACCACTGCCCTGACCCAATCATGAACTTTTCACCTCTAAAAGATTTCAATAGGCGTGCTCCTTCTCCATGCCTTGAAACCACTGGTTGACTATTTATGCTGCAGATCGACAGTGAGCACGTTTGCTGCAAAAAGGAGCCACTTCTGTTATGGGTTCCTCCATTATGCAAACATCCAGCAGGAGCACTCAGCAGGGATGTTAAAAATATTTCTAAGTCCAATAGCAAAGGCCTGTTTCTTTACTTAGCACCCCTTTCCGAGCAAGTCTATAAATAGGAGAATATGTCTGGAAAACACGAGTTTCCATTTGCTAATCCCACTTCTTTAGATTTTACACATCTGTTTTTTCCTCCCACGATGTTATACTCCTTTGCAGCGGCATTAGGCCGAGGCCAGTGTTTACAGAGAGGCCAACACATTATTAGTTATCCCATTTTACAGATCACAATAAGATTTCTCAACTAATAGTCTGTGTATTTTTATGTTTTAATGTGTGTGGATGTAGAGGATCCCTCTCCCTTAAACTGATTATATTTATTGGATCTGTTAACCATCCTTATCAGCCTGACATATTTTTTTATTACACACATCCACAGTAAGTTAAATCAGGTCAAATTAGGTTATATAAAGAGATTTGATCTTTTAAATCAGAGTGGAAGGGGACATAAATTAATAGTTATTTGCTTGTACTGCTTATTTTTATGGATCTCTGAGCTTTCTTTGTAATAATATTATTACCCTAACATTACATTTATTTACCACTATAATGCTGCTGAAAGCTAACTGATTTTAATACCACTTCAGAATCGGAGGGTAAGCGGTCCAGGACCAGTTACACCCGCTACCAGACTCTGGAGCTGGAGAAAGAGTTTCACTTCAACCGGTACCTGAGCCGCCGCAGGCGCGTAGAGATCGCCCACACCCTGTGTCTAAACGAGAGGCAGATCAAAATCTGGTTCCAGAACAGACGAATGAAGTGGAAGAAGGACTCAAAGATCAAAGTGAAGGAATAAAAGTGCACCAGTGAGAACGGGGTGCATGCAGCACGTTTTCAGCCCCACACTGCACAGTGCTGGAGTGCCGCCTGACCTCCGGATGAACTGCTAGGAGCAATGACATCATGACACCGCTCTGTGTGCTTCATCACCAATTATGTGTCACTTGCTGCAGTTTGGGACCTAATGTATTGAATATCACTCACTTTGATCAATCGGTTTACATTTCTAAATTAATTTGCTGGCCATGCGATGATAACCTCACTTTACTGCACGAAGGGGACAAGAGGTTGAGGAGAGCTGAGTCCTTCACGCTGCAGAGATTTTGGTCTGCAGTGCACTGAAAGGCTGCACAACGCTACTTATAATCTATGTTTGTTTTTTTTTAATTTGGATCAAAGTAGTGGAGGCTGAGTGACAGCCTGCATCACATCAAACTCTACATCATCACCATCATGTGATAAAACTTTTAAGATCAACGAATCAAATAAAGACAAAAATATTTCTGACTGCTGTGGAAATCATTTGATTATGACCGTTAAATCGTTTTCCACCTCTTTCCCTTTCATTTCTCTAATATGTTGCAGTGCGAATAAATTAGGACGTTGGTGGGATGTGTGATGTGTTCAGTGAGCTAATATCTTTGTGAGTGGATTTTTCTGTCAAGGCATCGTCCATGTTGTCTGTCATATCTCTGTGAATCTAAATCCTTATATACAATTCAGCGACTGTATGTGATATTAATGTGATAATGCAATGAGGCCATTTCTCTTCGTAAACCTAAGGTGCCTGGTTTACACAAGGCCTAGGATAGCTGATAGGTGGCTTATTGTTGATTGTAACCAATAAAGTCTCATCATTAAAAGTAAGGAAATTTCCTAATGTCAGTATGCACACTTCTGTTATTATGTATCTGATGTCAGGGTTTGGTAGCAGAATCACTAGTATATTTAATTTTATTTCTGTGATAAAAGTCAACTGAATTAAACTACTATAGAAACTGTTATTTAAAAAAAATACATTCCCTCCTTTTCCTTTTGTTTTCTCCTACTGATCACGTTTTGTTTCAGTCTGGCTCACAATCCACATCATTTCAGTGACTGACAAACGCGCACTGAAGTTTAAGGCCCTCATAAAACTTTATTGCCCCCTTTTTCACTCCACCAAAGGCAGACTCCGTTTCCTGTTTTGTCAGGGAAGGAAGGGACACACTAGCCTGTGATAACACTCGCCCACATCACAACGTGGATGCAAAACGTTGGTTTCCTGTGGCCGCAGACTGGCGCGCCATCACTGTCCGGGCCATATGGCAACTTTATGATATCGCCCTGCTCTTTAATCCTGCAATCATTACATTGTAGTTAAAACAACACTATCTGCTCGTATAGAGGACATAAAAGCATGCCACTTGTTCTGTGTCTGCATTCAGCAGCAGCTTTTGTAGAAGTAGTAGTGTGACGCAGTAGGTACAGCCTAAGGTTATGAGGTAGGCTAATTCCTCTATAGCAATACGTGACACTACATAAAGAAAATAAAAATCAACTCACCTCTCAAACTTATAGCTTCCTATTCAACTTCCTTAACAGCTATGAGAACCGGTCAGTGCAGCGTCCACTTTCTGTGCGCTCTGTTAGGCCTAACCTATATGTGGACAATGTATTGAATCCCTTTTTGTATGTCTTTCTTTTAGGGTATTTTAAAGTTTACAAGGTTACATATGCCAATTGCCCCAAGCAGGGCCTGTGAATGGTGCATAGGAAGCACGTGGTGTCATTTAAGTGGGTTTTATGGCCTGGAAGAGCTGACAAACCTTCGATATATACACATCATATATAATCTTAACTGTCCGGAATCGCAGCTGCTGACTTCCCCTTATCTGAGGAAGAAAGGGCTTTGTGGCAGTGAGGATGCAGTACCTTTCTCCGGACTGTGTAGACGGCTGGTGCGGAGAACTGAGAGCTGCTGCAGTAAGTTGCTTTTAACTTTGCCTACAGGCCTGCGACTGTGCCGTTATTTCACCTTGAAGAAATATTGTTTGTGTTTTATATTATGTGTGACTTTGAATGTATGGTTGTTGAATTGTCAACTTCAAAATGGATGCTATTAATTGACAGTGAGTATGCATTTTCTAATTATAGAACATGCTTTTTTTTAAAAGCTTGTGAAAATATTCGTTTTGAGATATTTAAAGTGAGATTTGGTGTTGCGTATTTACTCCAACAGAAACGGGATTATACGGAAATGCTGCTCATGGTGATTGGGTTGTCATAAGGATTATTTTCCCGCAGCATCATCCTTTTTTTTGTATCAGATTTTGGTTTTAGGAAATAAAAGTAAAAAGCGGATGTTTTAATGCCTCTCAACAAATTTTGTGACGTCGTGGCAGTCAGTTTGCTTTGCATGTTATTGCTGTCAGTAAAGAGAATGAGAAAATATTTGAAAGAAAGGTGACTGTGAGAAAAATGAAAAGTCTGCCAGAACGATCAAAAATCCACTGGCGTCCAGCCTCACCATCTACCCCACCCTCTTTCTCTCTCTCTCCCTGTCATAACCATGCTGACTCTCTCTGACCTGTATGTAATTTGTGAAGTAAGTAAGTGTATTTGGTTTAATTCTTTGTAAAGTCTGATATTTTGGTTCAGTGTGCAAATTTAAGAGGATGTGTAACTGAAGGAATGTGTTGAAAATAAAATGTGACTTTTGTTCTGTGTGATGCTAAAATGTTGGCTAAAATACTGCACCGTAAAGACAGATTTAAAACCTCCTGATTCAAGTGCATCATCTCCCTGTGTCACCTTGACATAAGTTTAGCGTTTGTGCTGTTGTTTTAGGGTCATGACTGGGCCACGAGACAGGTTAGACTCAAAGGCACGTTGCAGTGTAATTATGGCATCATCCAAACTCAAAGCCTGTGACAAAGTGAGGATGTGAACTGGAGGCATGAATGTTTTACAAAAATGCACCTTTTTTTTTTTGCACAACAGAGGAATGTTTGTTTTTCACCCTGGAACCCCTTCTAACTTGTTGTCCTCACTACAGGGGAAGATATTACTGAATTGATCCGTTTGGAGACTGATGAGGCGATGTGATCTTATAAGCTCAATAATTTTCTGTTGCTCTGTAGGGCACATCATTTAATTGCCTATATGTCTTAGGGAGCACTTCAGTCTAGAAATACTGATCTTTTGTTAATCAATGTGCGGAAATGCAAATGTCTCATTTTGATATTAAGTCTTGTTTGGGTGAGTGTAGCTCAGCTGACAGCAGGGTTATACATGCTGACTGTGATGCGGCATTAACAGCATTAACGGACTTTCATAGATGTGTGATGACATCGCTGTGTGGTGACATGCAGTCTTTGCTGTATTGTTTTTTTTTAATCTTTTCAGTCTGTGCAGGTTTGTTTTCAGGTGTGCAGGATGATCAATTGTACACTTCCAATAGGGGGCACTGTGTAACACGCTCCTGTGCGGGTGTGATGCACTGTGGGGGCAATGTGTCCACGTAAGGGCATGAATTAGTGCTCTTTTCATCCCACGTTTTGATTTGAATTTGCTCATTTTTTTCAGCAGCTGTACTGCCAAAGTCCCAAACTAAAAAAAAAGGAATCCGAAATGGACGGTCTTGTTTTCCTCCAAAAAGAAGATGTAAAAAAAAAAACTTTCCCTGTAAATTAGAATCATATTTGACGTGTGATATTTATAAAGGTTGCAAGACCCTTATTATAATCGAAATCATTTTATTCTCATGGCATGCCAGCAATTGCATCTTGGGAGGAAGTTTGACTCAATGATAATTTTAAATCTAACTTGGGGCAAAGACACCCCAGCTCAAAACAGTCTAATATCACCACTGTAAAAGTGAAACAGTCTAAACATCCGTTTTTACTGCCGCGCTCTGCCTCGCTGTATTCCTTTCTCTGACCTGTGGAGCTGACACTGCCATCATTCAATCGGCAGAGGTCATTTCCGGGTGAGCACAGACTTCCCTTTGTCTGATCCCAAATAAGAACCATAAAGTCCCATTACATCGCTTTGCGAACACAGACAGAATTTATTTACAATGTGAAGACAAAGCCGTGATTTTTTTATTGACTGCTCGTCATAATTCAGCCGTGCTGAAGTCCGGGGATTTCTATTCATAGAACATTTGCCCAAGGAAATACCAAAATGCTTGTAAATTTAGTTTTTACTGTCTGAAAATGACCTGTCCTAAATTTCTGTCCTCGGTCCCAGTTCTGCAGGAGCCCACACATGTCAAGGCTTTTCTAGGGCAGCCTCAATTAGGCTACAGAGGAACGAGACGGACTGAAGGATCGTTAAGAAATAATAAGCAGCATTAACACGGTTCGTTTCTGTGTTTGAACACTGAGAGATAAACCTGAGGAAACTTTATTTAAAAGGAAAAAAATATTTAGTATGAAATAAATATCTATGGGTCTTTGATTATTTGTAATCATCTGTTGCTCATATTTTCATTTGATTCATTTTTATTTTTTTAAATGATTTGTGTGATATAGTTGCTTTTTTAAATGTAGCAAAAAACGAAATATGGTACACACAATGTATACATTCATGTCAATGTTATGTGCCTGCGTCTGTGACTTTCTCAATTAATAAAATGGTCAGTGGATAATTTATTGACCTAATGTATGTTTTTTTAAAACGTAAATAATTATTTAGAAAATTGTAGACTTTTGCCATCTTTATCAAGCATTTTACTTTTCCAGTTTGGATCCATTTATTTATTTACTTAAATGTAGACTATTCTTGATCTAATTTTCGTTTTTTCTCCTGTTTTTCAGACAATTCATCAGGTCAAATTGAGTGGGACCGCAGATTTATCAGTAAGTGTAATCCGTCGCCCCACGTCTGTCCACCTGGCTTTAGTCAAGAGATGTGACACTTCAGGGAGCTTGTTATTTGGCTGTGGGCAAACAGCTGGCTCCACTGACATCACGGGTACTGATGCCTGCACTACTAGCGAATGTATTTACATAAGCTGGTGTTAATATAAGGACTGTGGTTTAACAATCAGTGTTTTTATTTCCAAGTTAAAAAAAATTCAATTTCAAACATTAAATGCTTAAGCAAAATCTACAAATTGAGCTCGAATTACTGCAAACTACTTGGGTCTTGTTAATAGCCAGAAACGTTGCACTTTTGTACCACAGGTGAGCTGGACTTAACGCTGCAGTATGAGTCTAATGAACCACAGCATTGCCATAATGAACTGCAAACCAACCAATGGTTTCTGTGGGGCATCTAGTATCTTAAACCACCTCTGCTCCCTTGGCTGCTGCTTTTAGAGCGTATTCATATCAAACTAGTCTCCAGTCTGTCTACACTTCATTAGAAACTTTTTATTTTAACTGGACGATCCAGCTTAACGTTATTACACCTGGGGAGAGTAAACGTGTAAAGGCTATTAGGTTAAGGGTTTGATTAAACGCGCATCGTAACCATTTTCATCAGGGAGCGGAATATTGCCGCACTGTCTGCATCCAGGTCAGGAGCTGCTGCGCCACCAAATTAAAAACAATCATGCATGGGCAGCACAACAGCCTCCACATAGTTTTGCACAGATTTATTTTGTTTACATATGTACATATGTGAACACGCTTGTGCGGCTGTTTTGCAAGTGGTGGTGGTGGTGGTGGGGGGGGCTTAACAATTTCTCAAACGAACAAATGAAACATCAAATTAATCCGCCTGAGGGCCTCTTTTTTTGTACTTCTACATTATAACTAGTTATTGAACTAGGTGCACGATCTGAAAGCCATTTGTGGGGAGAAAGAATTCATTGCTGTCTCTCCATCAATAATCCTTGGCAGTGAACTATTGGAACCAGTCAAACGCGAGGGGTGAAACGCGGGTCAGGCTGTCTAACTAATATTAAAATGCGTCCGCCAGAGCGCACGAGGAGAGAGGGGAGTATGTGGTGTGCGTGTAGGTCTTCCACACTGGTTTGGAGCACAGGAAACATCACGTATATGAAAAAGCCAAAAGAACACGAGATTTTTATGTGACTGTTTCCTCGTTAGTTCACTGTTTGTTGGCTCAGGATGCTTTGTTCTTCAGTAAACAAATCTATTAAACTGATACACAGATTGATATGTTTTTTGACGGAGTTTAAAGCCCCCTGTGCATTTTCCACTGTAATCAATTCCATTGATTCACAATCTGCGCATATTTGCGGATTTTAATAACCTCGAACCAGGTCACATGTCTGATAGGCTATTGCATTTTTCATCCGAGGCTTTTCTCATTAGCTTCCAGAGTGGCAGGAAGAAAGGTTACAGAGCGGTCAGTATGGTAATAGCAAGCAGAAGAAATGGTTGGGAACAATAGAAACTTATTTTTCATCTGTGCTGTCACGCCGTCCCTTTGTACCCGCCGTGTTTGTGACTGAATATTCATATAGGAGCTACCTCAAAGGCAGAGGTTGAATGTTGAGAAAAGAGACCCTCTTGTCCTTTGCACACGGCGTGTTTGTGTGTGTGTGTGTGTGTGTGTGTGTGTGTGTGTGTGTGTGTGCTGGCATATATGTGTACGTGATTTTTCTTCTATTTTTTTGGAGAAAATATGTTAGTCGTGTTTTCAGTCATTTGTATATGCATTAAGAGCAGAGCAGGGTTTGTGTTTGTGGCTTCAGTAACCCTGATAAACAGCATCGGCTTTCTTCTCCATTGCAGCCTTAATATTTGTTGTGACACTATTCTCAAATGCATGGCAGTCCAAGACCAGACACGATAACCTGCTTGCACAGAGGTTTACCTGAGAGGTCACCTTTTGCCGTTTCTAATCTAAAACACATTAGTTGTCTATATGTACCCTGTAGAACCGAATTTGTGTGAAGTACAAACAGTCGCAAATACGTCTCTACAGGAATACATGGGCAACTGAAATACTACGCCAGCCAATGGAACACCCTGTATCTGCTCATCAACACGTCTCTCTGGCTTTTCCTGCTATTGCATACACAAGCATCAGTGATGTACACATGCAGCCTACACCCAGGCACGAGCAATAACATTGTCGTGAAGTGTATTCATAGTCCAGACAGCCATAGATTGCGTAGGTAGGCCACAGAGAGCAAACCCATGTGTGCAGTGTGCAGCTACTACTGTGTCAGACCCTGTAAAACACGTTACGAACCAGGGGTCGTTTAAAAGTGACTGATTTACGACTTTTATTGCTCTATAAAACGCCTCTAACATCCTCGCTAGGGGTAATAGAAATGTCGCGAGCATTCTGCACAAACAGCACAGCCAGAAATGCCATTTTACTACATTTTAAAGCATATTAGTCCATGTAATTATTACTGTGGAAATAGATACACCCTTTAAGTTGCAATTTGGTGCTTTTGACCAACAGATTAACTTGTCCTACTTCTGTTCAGGCTTAATGTTTCTCCAAATGGGATCCTTTTACTTTTATTAAACGCTTTCTTATTATTACATGATTTTTTTGTGCTTGCATTTTGGCTGTTGATGGTCGCAACAGCTATTATACCAATAAAAAAATACAGAAGGAGAAAGATAATCTGGATGTTGTTGGGAGGCTGCTAAGCTAGTTCTCTCTCTCTCTCTCTCTCTCTCTCTCTCTCTCTCTCTCTCTCTCTCTCTCTGACCACTGCTGACTCCGGGACAGGAATGGGAGGCATACAGCACATGACAAGTTTATACAGGCAGGCTGGATCAGTTTACAATGTAACAGCAGACCCCCAGTAATGTGGCTGGTGGTCAGTGCTTCAGCCATGATTAGCATGTAACATTTGGAGGCTGCATTTCCAAATGGCAAGACTGATATAGTAGTTTTCCTTTCTTATTATTATTATTTTTTTATAAATTCGGAATAACTGGGGCTATAGTAAAGTAAGGAATAAATATGCATTGTAAACATGTGTCTATACAAATCAGTTGCATTTATTTCTCTACATATATAGCAATGTTGCATTTTTCCTCTCAGCATTTTTTTGCTAAAATGTTGGTTTGAGCTAGTCCACACACAGATTGAGTTGATACATGATCACATGTTTTTATTAAGGCCATAAAAAAGGTCACAACGTGTCTTGCAAGTTAAAGATAAGGACTTTTCATTGTTGTTAAAACAGAGAGCCATGATGAGATGAAGAGAATACAGTCAAGAGACATATTTTTTGTCAGAAAAAAAACCCTCAATGGTATTAAATAATTTAAATTTGCAAGTCAACAAGCATGGCACCTCTAAACAGGACTGCCCTGCGTGTGGGAGGGCGCTTCAGTTCAATGTGAGGGTGCACATCTTCTGCTAAATGCTCTTACTATATATGCAACAACCAAATGTAACAGCTTCTCTTCTTCGGTGACACAATGCTGCTCCTCTGCAGTTAAGTCAGCAGATCAAAATTAACTGAGACTCTGGTCTGTGACACCATAATGACATTGGTCCCCACAGCTGACTGATCCGTGACATCATAATGATGCTGCTCTGCACAGTTTGTGACACCACAGTGGTACTGTTTTATGTTGGCTGCTCTGTGATTTCACAGTGGTAGTATTCAGTTAGTTTGGTCTGCTCCCCTGTTGTCTGGTCTGTGACACCATAACTGTTTTTCACAACTCATTTCTCTTCTTCTTTATCCACTGTTTTGTTGGTGACATCACAATGCTCATAATGATGGCTTTTGTTGAATAATTGTTGTATCTTTCAGAATTAGAGGTTATTATTAAAGAATAAATGCATTTGGCTTTTCTCTTTTATTTACTTTTCTTTTTTTGTGCTGTTGACAAGGACTGCCTTTCTTATCATCTTATTTGCTTTATTGGAAAGCACCCCACAACTTTGCTTCCATCTGATTTTTGCTGCTGTGACATTTAAAGCAGAATCCTTACTTACAACCAGGCCAATCTTTAATAGTATCCTTAACAATGCTTGATTAAAAGTTGAGCCTTTTAATGAGTAGTCTGAAAGAAATAGGATGTCATTTCAAAACAGACACATATCTCCTCATTGAATGAAGGCTTTTGTTTCGGCTGCCTGACTCCTTCCTGTCCACCTTTCTCCAACATTATAAATGATCAGACCTATTTCCAAAACCCAACCACACCTCCAGAGCATCTCACCACTCCAGTCCTCTGTGACATTTAGATTCACAATAAACCTTTTACACATTAGTGCTGAAATGTTTTCTAGGAAAATCATCAAAGTGGATGCAGCTCTAATTCTTAAGTATATTAATGGCCTAAAATCGGTTTTACAGCTGAAGTGCTGTTACTTAAGAATGTATACCTTGATTAATTAACAGATAACCTATATATAAGGCGTGCAGGCTAATACAATGATTGGTTTGCTATTGTTGTACCTTATCCTTGGCGAATCACCTATTGTCCCTTTGAGTAATTGAGAGCAGTGGATTTTGCCTGTTTTATTTTTTCCTTGGTCAGCAACTAGCTACTAGTTTTGTCCCCAAGATCAATTGCCTTGGTAACGCAACCAGAGAGAGAGGGGGAGAGAGAGAGGTAGAGAGAGAGAGAGATTTGTGCCCACAATGGCGACTGTAGGTATGCTAAATACCTCTGGTTCCTTATCCGGGAACTACCTCTTACTCTGCTATTGGGCAATTGGGTCACGTGGTAAAAGTAACTTTACAGGGCTGCTCGCAAGTAGGAGGGCTTTATGGAGCAGAAAAACGACAAAGCTAGAAAAATTATTTTCCACTCCAGAAATTAATGATCATGAGCTCGTATTTGATGGAGTCTAACTACATTGATCCGAAATTTCCTCCATGCGAGGAATATTCGCAAAATAACTACATCCCTGAGCATAGTCCAGAATATTACAGCCGCGCAAGGGAAACTGGCTACCAGCATCACCATCAGGAGTTATATCCTCCGCGGGCGAGCTACCAAGAGCGCCAGTATAACTGTGCAAGCATCCCTGAACCTGACACGCCAAGGGGACATGGAATACCCCAATCTGCGCACCTGCTGACAGGGAAAGGGCAACCTGCTTCATGTGAAACCCCACAGTTGTCCATGTCCCCTGCCACCCCACCGGCCGCAACCTCCGCCTGCAACCAAGCTACCCCGGAGCATCCAAACAGCACAGCCTCCTCCAAGCAGCCCGTGGTGTACCCATGGATGAAGAAAATTCACGTCAGCACTGGTAGGCAACTTGTGTGTTCATGTTCCCTGCACTTCTCATGCTCCTCTCTCCCTTTCCCTCCCTTTATCAGTCCCTCTGACTCCCATCTCGTTGCCAGCCCCTGCTCCGATAGCAGGGAAGCCTTTGAAATGGCACAATTGAGGCGGATTTACGACTCGGCATTGGTAATTACACCCACCATAAATTTTATAGCCGAGGTATACTCAGGGCAGCCGTATCACCATGTGGCTTCTGCTGTTATGTATTGCGCGATAGAGAGAGGGGGAGAAATGAATAAGAAAAAAATTCGAGCTTTGTAATCTTGCATTAATAATTTAGCTCATAGTTGGATGTGAGTGTCCTCTCATTACCGCCGAGAAGTTCTTAACTTCCCATTTAAATTTCTCAAACAGCTAAACATTCATATCCAATAAATCTTTCTAGCCATATCTCAGTTCAGGCCATTCTTGTTTACCCCTCCTTTCCTCCCTTCTCTTTCTCCCTTTCTCTCCACTTATCCTTTTTCCAGTGAGCTCGGCTTACAATGGGACGGAGCCAAAGCGGTCTAGGACAGCATACACCCGGCAGCAAGTCTTAGAATTGGAGAAGGAATTCCACTATAACCGATATTTAACTCGACGGAGGCGCATCGAGATCGCCCACACCCTGGTTCTCTCCGAGCGACAGATTAAAATCTGGTTTCAAAACCGCAGGATGAAATGGAAAAAAGATCACAGGCTCCCGAACACCAAAGTGAGATCCTCTTCCTCCTCCTCCGGGTCCAACACAAGCTCAGCAGCCGGCGCTGTTGCGGCTGCCTCGGCCACTAACACTGGGGCCCCCGACGAACTCACCGGAGCACAGCATGGCGAGGATATCACCAGGTTATAAAACCACGAACCAAGATTGGGGATAGAAAAAGAACTGGTTATTTATAGAACAATTATATATTTTGTTTTGGTAGCTATCTTGTGCGGTTTCCTTTAAGTCCAAAGTTATATAAAATGCATGTTATATAGCATGGATTACTGCGAATACCGATGAATTATTTTTACGTGACACAGGGTTTAATTTATTTGAAGCTCAATTAAAATGATGTTTTTTATTAAAAAATGTTTTGAATGAAGGAAAAAAAAAGTAGAAAAAATATACATTTTATCAAAATGTTATTGTGGGCCATTCTTTTGCCCTGCTGCCCAAGGTGAAATGCACAATCTATTTATTTCAAACAACACTGGAAGGAAATCAATATAATAATAGTTATTTTTGGTATAAAAAAGCTGGAACACACCATTGATCTTGAACTTGTATGTTTTGGGATAATAACAATGTGTGAATTACCTCGTGTATTTCAGAAACAGGATTTTGATTTACAATTTAGTTTTGTGGTGTCGATGTTGTGTTTAGACCTTAAAAAGCAGATTATTGTGAAATGCAATAAACGGAGTGTAGTGTACATGTGCTAATCATATTGGTCAATAAAACAGTGAGTGTCTAATAGTTTTATATACGTTTGGTCGAATTTCATTTTGGGCAAGATGAGGTCTGCTATTGTTTTTAATGGCTATTTGGAGAGATCATCTTTTAAAAGTGCACAGATGTGTGGATACTTGAACATTTCGCGAGGGGGAAACAAGAATCACTGTGTTTTCAAACTGTGTTTGTAAGTCCTGCAGCTCATTCTTGCGTTTTTAAATTGTGTACAGACAGTGTGTGTGTGTGTGTGTGTGTGTGTGTGTGTCTGTCTGTCTGTCTGTATGTATGTCTGTGAGTGTGTTAAAGCCTGACTCAAAATGGACTGAAGTTATTTCTAAAATCTGCAAATGAAATAGTTTGCGCTATGCATTATGTGCAACCTCATCAGTCTGAAGGGCATTCAATTAACGCTAAAGACAAGCCACTGAGGCCCTCCACTCCACACTACACTGCCTCTGCTTCCTTCGTCCTGACTTGAACACAAAGCTGCATGCGATTAATTTAGAGGACATTTGCAATGTGTTAAGAGATTATGGATTGCTGTGAAAATATTCTTATTCATTTTGTAATTTAACTAGTTGCCCTGCTTTTTTCTATATTCCAGTAGTCATGCCACAGATTTTTCAAGTGTAAAAATAAAATCAAAGTAAAAATAAAATAAAGTCATGAATTGCAGATAGATTCAATACAAGCGTCATGTGGTGTTCGTTACCAAAAAATAATCCCAGTGAGGATGGTGATGGAGTAAACTAGCTGACCTTTGTTATCAGGCTCTGCAGCAGTGCCCTGGCCAAAAGAAAGGGATGCTGAGGTTTTCTTGTGTCTTCACTCTTTTGACTTTTGCTTGTATGCACTCTTTCCCCACATTTGCCTGCTGTCTCCCCAGACTGTGCAGAAGCTCGCGAGAATACCAAAAAAAACCTACAGTTCAAAAAGCGGCGCTCACTGCAACGTCATCTGGCAGGAGGACCAACACACTGCAGGACTGTTTACGACTGTAGATCTGCTGGACTGATCCAGTTATTTGACAGAATATCACTCAGACTGCACCTCTCAACTGCAACTGAAGTGTTTTAAGATTTGTTTTTTCACACAAAGATCTCTCTCTTTTGTTTTTTTTTTGTACAGATTTGTGCAGAAGGAGTCCATTTTAACCATGACTTAAACCCAAAGACGCGCAAGAATTTGATAGATTATTGAAATTGTGACATGAATAGGCCTTATAAAATGCCTTGCGTAGTGGGGGGCAAAGGAGCACAAAAGGAAGAGCTATTCTCCATCATCAATCTTTCACTACAGAGCTTTGTGCTATGTTCTGGAAAACAGCTCTGCCAACAGCTAGTTTTTATCCTACCAAATATTATGTACCAGGCCGTATCTTTTACCATTATTCCCAAAATGTGAGAGTTTAAATGGGACTTTAAAATAACTCTGTTTAACTGGACCAAAGCGGTTAAGATCTGCCTTTTGGACGTGGCTTTGGAAAGGCACAAGAATAGTGGTGAGACGGCGCTGAAAAATGAATCCAGACGCCTTTATGTTGCTAGACAGATTAGAGAAATTAATGTGCTCACCACAGTCGCAGCATCCCTCCAAACCCTTTCTAGGCCCTGTCGCCTCCATGTCGCGAGGCTGAAAAGGTACTTTATTGAAGTTTGGGGGCGAAGTGGGAGAAGGCCGAGTTCACCTCGAGGACACATTTTCTGTCCCATTAGGCTCATTTCAAACTCTGGATGGCCGACCTCTCCAACCTTGTGACCTGACTCACTCTTTATACGTGTACCTTCTGTGCGCGCCCTCACTGGTCCCCATTGGCCTCAGCTTTCTTTGTGGATTTTTCTGGGTTGTGCCTACAGAGAGGCCTGCGGCGGGGCATCACTGAATGTGTGTTACTCCCTTTGTTAATCAGAGTGGCCCAGGACAGTGTTGAACTCTCGGACAGTCATATTCTCTTCTCGAAAAATGCGCCTTCTTTGGAGATGAAACTATTTCCAAACCGACCTGGCATCAATTTGTGGTAACTTTAACCGGAGATAATGTAGTTGCTGCATAAGTACACATGGTAGCAATATTCTGAGAGATTGTGAAACACGTGCATTAGCCTGAATCTGTGTGTTTTAAACTTTTACGAGCCTGCGTTTGGGAAAAAGAAGAAATGTTGTACATTTATTGTACAGGCATTTAATCGTGTGTAGCTGATAAAATTATAATTTCATTCAAATAGCCCAAGCATCAAGCTGTAAACATGCCATATTCCCCAGGGGATTCATTCCCCAAAGTCTCCCAAAAAAACAGGAGGCAGTCAAAATAGATAGCGCGGTCATGTGACTTCTGTGTGACTTAAGAGAATAACTGGCCTCAGGTCAGTGCATCCGTTCAAAAGGAAGCTGCCAATTATAGCTAGGTGCTTCTGACAGTACTGGGACAGGTGGTCATTGTGATTAGTTTATGGACAGGGACCTTCAAGTTTTGAGTCACAAACACCTTGCAAACTTTCCACAGACTCCCCACTCTTCCTTAAAACCTTTTTTTTTTTTTTTATCCAAATGCAAATTGGCCTCATATGAGACCGAATGTAACCTATATAGTTTCTTTCTGACAGAATATTTATTCTCTCTAAGATGCTCCAAAATTATTATTATTATTATTGTTGTTGTTATTGTTATTGTTAGACAGCATGTAACGTGAGCTACTGCAAATGACAACGATGTGGTCAAACCTCGAGTGATGTACATGCGTCATTGTTTTCTTTTTACTTTATTTGGGAACTCTTACTAAGTGTTCCCCTTGCAAGCAGCTTTGAATTTATTGTGATATTCTTATTTGGGTGCATTGAGCAACACGTTTCATCTCACTTGTGTGGCCAGGACCAAACATTCAGCGCTGGCATGGAAACATATTCGCCAGCATGCCTTCCAACATAAACAGCTGACACTTAAAAGCCAAACAACTCAAATCTCAGTGTCCTCATCATTCAGTCTCCTCCTCCAGCTCCGAGGTCTACAGGTAGCAGATAGCTCACGTTACACCCAGAACAATGACGGGATGCCGCTTTTTGTTTGAGCCCTTGTAATTGAAGATTTGTGTTAAGTAGAAACAGATCCTACATGAGGCATCATTTGCAGAGATTTTCTTTCTCGACTTTTTGTTGACTTAGCCTTGCCGGGGATTCAATTAATACACCCATATAAGGCCTTGTTGCATTTATTACGAGAATAAACAGAATGTGTGATTTAAAATGATTATTTAAACAAAAGCTAGTGTTGTTTGCCAGTCATGAATCTGCCTTGTCTCGCGTTTTGTTATTAAACTTTGGGCTCATGCGCACATACTTCCACTCTACACGAGGGAAACTTTTCTCAATATTTAGACAGATATTTATCATCATAATATTTAAGGGTCTCGTAAACTTTGCACGTTTACTTTTCACATGATCTAAGCAAGCAAATGAGTCCTTTAATCTACTAACTTCAAAGTTAAATAGTCTTACCTGTCAGAAGATCAAGATAAATAAAATGTTAAAAATATAATATCCGCGACTAACATCTTTGTCTTTTTTATGAATGAGAGCCATTCTTAAAGTTTAAAATAAACTCTGTTAGTTTTTCATCCAGCCATTTAGTTTGGGCTTTCAGTTGAAGCTGTGGAATAATTTTGCGAGGCTGCCGTTATTCTTACCCCTCACCACCTTGTAGGAATTATCTTGTTGAAGTGTTTGAATTCCTCAAACTCGGCCCTAACTGGTTTCTTTTTCTGACTCGAGACTGTTGAATCACGCACACATGATTTTGAGCTCACATTGCACCGCTGCAGGCTCCCTGTGATTTATGAGCACCTCAGGCGAGGACTCTCTCTTGGAAGATATAAAAACTTTACACAATACGAGATGTTTGAACAAGCGCAAATTTACGAAACAAAAATGAGCTGTTTGTTTCGTAAGCTGTTCTGACGGCGGTGTGGTTTATTACCTGCTTTTATTGTTTACATCGTTTTTTCCCCAACTAGTCTCAGGTGAGTCTCATCTTCAACCACTTTGGATTGCAATGAAAGGTGTGGGGGCCAGTGTATTGTCATGGTGTAGTGTGTTTAAACCGCAGCCATGGCAGTTGCATAAAAGCTGTGAGTTGAAACAGGGGTCACACTGCTATTTTCCAGGGACAGAGAGGCTCTCTCGCATTGACCAGCAGTGGGTGTGTCATAAATCCGTAAATCTCTCTCCCATCCGTTCACTCTAAGGAGCAGATGCACCATGTCTTTTCTGTGTGTGTGTGTGTGTGTGTGTGTGTGTGTGTGTGTGTGTGTGAGTGAGAGAGAGAGTTAAGTGAATTTACATAAAACTAGATTTTAAAACTCGATCAGACATGTTAAACTGATTTACTGTCAGTGCTGGCAAACATTTCAAGCAGGGCACGACAAAGCAGCTTGGATCAACACTCTGATATCCCACTGTAGACATCAGATCACACAGGAAATGATGGCCTGGGTAAACTTGCCAGTAATACTTTATGTCACCATAATGCCTCGATGGGAAATTTTTCATTAGCCTATTTGCTGCATCGTTGAGGACCTTAGAAATTACAGTCATTTTCCTCCGTTCAAGGTGTCACAGGGGGCCCAGACAGTCACTAGATTGAGTTATGATTATGTTATTCACATTTCATTAGCAAAAGCGATCTGAATATGGGATTCTGAGACTATAGATCCACAATTATGCGGACGTTAAGTGAAAACGCGTGTTTTTATTTGATTTGCTCTCTGAAAGTCATTCTCTGGTGTATTTGTGTGGCCACCAGTTGCATTTCTACTGCAGTCATCTCAGCTTTGAGCGCTGTGGGGACAGCTGCTGGAGCATTAGAGGTTACATTTTTACATGTCACTTACATATTGTTGCATAGGACTCAACCGGTAATTGAAAGTTAAAGGCACAGTACATCATCTAAATGAGACAAAAATCAAAAGTCAGTTCACTTCCACACCCAGATTGATTGACAGGCCTTTTTGAGAAATTTATGGCATAGCCTAAATCTATGATATTAATATTTTCTTATTATGTAAAAGGTTTGTTTATAACAGTAATGTTGGTATTCAAACAGAACTATATCTTCATTTTTATCAGTTGAAAAACAAAGACTAGAGCTTTAACAGTTAATACATACCAGCTTTCAACATGTAGGCCTGCACATCAATTTTCACAGGAAAAATATTAAACAACACACATATTTTTTGAAGACTATGCATATTCTGAATTAAAAAACATATTTCTCCTTAGTAAAAAAAAAAAGAAAAAAGGATTTATGTTCGTCTGCACTCTCCACAGACATGCCAGGATTTACAGTGGGCTGTGCTATAAGCAGGTCCAAATTAATACTCTATGTTAGTGCACATGCTTGTGCAAAAGTCAGGACTTGTTTGGGAAAATGACAATATGTGTCTTTTCCTCACTTATGAAGTGCAGTCCGCAAACTCTAGTCCTTTCATTTCACTCTGCATTGTTTACAGCAATATAGGGCACCGGGCCCATAAATCTTCCCCTTGCTCTGCCAAGACAGCGCCATTTGTATGCACCGTTTTAACCGACAGCATCCTCTGCCCATTAACGTCTTCTCCCCAGCTCTCCCTCAGTCTCCTCTTATCTGCCCAGCTCTGTCCCCTGGAAATACATTAACTGATCTGTGCATTCCTTGAGCTCTGAAAACCAATTATGTTTTTTTTTAGGTGAAAGGAATATATAATTTATGGGGCAAAAATAAAATTCCCCCCGCATGTGCGCAGTTGCGGATATTCCACATTCCCCAGTAGCGTGTTTCCCTGTAAGTTATTGGTACGAAAAATAAAAGTTTATCGACGATTTCCGTGGCTGTTTATGTCAGCAGGCGAGAGAGCGCAGAAGGTAAGGAGGAATTGTAAAAGGGTTGACACCCAGAGCGACCGGCGAGCTTTTGTGTGAGAGAGAAAAATGATTTATTGCCGCTGAGGCGGTTCATACAGAGTTCACGGAGAATTGTGGTGGAGGCGCGGAGGAGCTAAATTATGGTCTTGCTGAGCTAGTATATCACAGATTCTATCTCCAATTCAGAGAGTGTGTTCAAGGGTGAGGCAAGGAAAACAAAACGAATTTAATTACTTTCCCCCATTTCAGTCAGTGTTGATGTATACTGCCTAATTCGCCTAGTACTATTAGGCTACTAATACTACTACTACTACTAATAATAATAACAATATTAACAATAATAATAATAATAAGTAGATTTTGGTAATAAAAAACGACATACAAGATGGCATTATATTTAAATTTCTGTTTATTTTGCTCTGTTGGCTTACATTCAGCTCATACTGAGATTTACTGAAGAGACAATTAGTGTAGGCTATAACTGCCATTTTAATGGACAGGCTGAAAAGATTAAACTTGGCCACAGTGGTCGTTACTTAGTTTTCAGTTCGAAAAGCTAAACGTTTAGCATTTTTATACAGTTCTGAAACTGAATTATGATCTATAATATCATGTAGCCCAACAGTGACTTTAATGCTGATCATGGTTTCCAATAAGCCGTAGTATGTGGGGGCGACAGTTGCAGCTATTATGTCCTTCATCTGAACTGAACAGAAATTCAAAACTAAAATATAGCTTCTTTTTTTTTAATACAAGGACGTGTCTCCACTCTGGGGGTTCAGGTAAAACCTCAGTGATGGTGGGAGCAGGAGTGAAACGGAAAAGGGGGAAGGTTCCTCTTCTTCCTATGCAATCCTGAGTGCATAATCCATCACCGCTGAGAGACATCTAAAGAGGGTTTTCTCGACAGCTTTGTTGTAGTGAAACACCAGAAGGAACTTGTATCTAAAGCCTGGCGCAACTAAGATTGATACCGGCACAGGATATGCTAATATCGTAGCATGCAGCACCCTCTCATTTTGGAAAATGATTTTGGGTGCACTATTTACCATTTGGGGATAGCTTCATTATTCTAGTTATTTATCCAATTTGCATACATTTGTGCATTGTTGAAATTAAGAAATCATGTTTTATGAGTTTGTACTACTTGTTTACTGAGTTTGTAACTCAGTTAGGCCTAGGCCGCACTTGATGTAGCTTTTAGCCCAAATAATTCCCCCCCTAAAATATTTATTATGGGAGTTTTGAATGAAGTTGCAAAATTCATATTTTGTTTAAGTGCTCTGCACCTTCATAGCTTTATTTCCAACCTCCTGGTTTCTTGTCTGCTCTGTATTGTGACTGCAAACTGGCGCACAGAAGGGCTCTGCTCCCCCTACTCTTTGTCCATCCTGCCGTGCAGCTCTCGGGATATTTACCATCAAACGTGTCCACAGTGTTTCACTGTTGCCTCGCAGAGCCACAGACAGGGACACTTGATACTGTACAGTGATGCCTGATTAATGCAAATGCTCCGAATTGTCCTATAGAGAAAAAAAATCTCAAATGATTGCCTCCTTTGTCTTTGTGTGGCAATGACTGTCAAGCCTTTGTGTGACCACTCCCAGTGAATCCTATTAAGTCAAAGCTACACTTCCCCTCCGACAGTTACAAGCATATGCTGTTATTTAAAGGAAAGCCCGCCGATTTATAATGGGCAGTTCAATTAGTTGCAAACTAAGTTATCAAAAATAATCAGGGTAATTTCCTTTACAGGTATAAAGCAGCCTTAATGCAAAATGGCAATAGATAGAGCAGCTAATTGCGTGGAAATACAGGGATAAATATTGTTTATTATTGTTTAATAGGGGAAAATATCCCGAAGCACAATTTATTTTCAGGAATTTTACATTTTAAAAAAAGCTTCAGCAAAATTATAATTTGTGGTCGATAACCCGTATTATCCTGTATATTATTCCAGCTCATAGACATAGCCCACTGTAGCAGGACGTCCTCGCGCTGTATCTGGTACAAAAACCAAAACAAACAAAAAAAACCTACCACAAAAAGTTCAGGATGTGCAGCTGCAAGCGGCGGCGGCTCCTTCTAATAAACACGTCCTGTCAAAAGATTTACAATATTACAAAAATTCAACTCTCAGTTTGTAATTAGACGTTCCTCACCACACATTGTAATCTCTGCCTGCCCCCCCCCCCCCCTTTCCCCCCTCTCTCCGTACAAAAACATGTCCCTCTTTCTCCCACACTGATTACACAGTTGTTGGCGTCTATTCATATTCCGTTATATGTTTTTTTCATCCCTAGGTAAAGAAACGCGGGCTGCTCATAGAAATGTTGTCTGAAGAAATATCGCGGAAGCTTCTTCGGGCGCCCCAAGTTGCTTACGGATTACTTTGCAACTCCAGAGCTCTGTCATTGGAGGACGGCTACACGTGACTACGGCTCCCTTCTGGTAAATATTATTCAAATGCTCCACATGGTTACTCCAAGTGCTCTTCCCTGCATGCCTTTATACATTCAGGTTAATTGTGATCGGATATTAGACAGACAGAAGTCCTAGTCTTTACTACTGTTGAGGGATTCCTGGTTTTATTTGAGACAGTTTGATGAGCTGGGTCGATGGACCCCCAACTGTCTGCCCTCCCACTGCAGCTGCATGGCAACAGTTTTGCTATGAGCTCTGGACAAGTGCCAAAACTGAGCGCGGGATACAATGAAGGAGAAGGAGGTGGAGGAGGCCAAGAAGCCGAACTTAATCAGCAAAACATGACCTCCTCTGCTCATGTCAGTTCCAGGTTGAACCCAGGTGAACAGTTTCAGTGCCCACTGGAGCCTCTAGTTCACTGCCATGCCAAGGGCAAGCTGGACATCAAAAGCAGGAGCTGCAGTCTACTCACCATCTGCCGCTCAGGAGTAATTTTCCCCTGGATGAATCCACGGACAACTGACTCTGAACAATCTGGTAACTCCGGTTTTGCTTATTATCTTATTACCTTTTTACTGCCATGACTGAGCATCCAAAATACTGTTGACACAATCTCCAATAGATCAATTGAATCCACGCATCCAAATTTAATGAACATTTCCCCCCTGTTTGTGGTTTGGATGTTTAATTCAAACACTTATATCTGACCTTAGCATATCTGGACCCTGCTGTTGTGACTGCTGCAGAAGACCTTGAATTCACATACTGCAACTACTAACTAAGATACCCAGTCAGGCCCCTAATCTTTCAGACAAAGAAAGCAAAAGTCTCACTAGTCAATAGCATAATGTGTCACCTCCATCATTTATCATGCACAAAAGTATATTCATCAGATGTGAATGCTTTTTCTCTTCTATTAGGTTGAATTAGTCTGTGAATGAGTGTCACTGTTGCATCACAGTTAAACAAATGTCACTGTCCTGCTCATAGTTGTTTGTTCTTCCAGTCCTGTAATGTTCAAAAGCTGCAGTGAGTAGGCCGCACAGGGACTTATTGTAATCTAAGGGTCTTCTTTTCAATGAATATATCTTAATCATCTCTTTACGATTTGTTGTTTCTTAATACATTCATTAAATAAAAAATACTCAATTATAACATCTCTCCTTGAATAGGTATGTATGTAAGTAATTTTGAGCATGAATTCATCAGTGTCTTACATTTTACAAAAGTGAGCAAAGACAATTACAGAGAGAGAATGAAGATCAAATTTTTTATTTTTTATTTGCTTCACTAATAATGCTTATTGCTTTTCACAGAAATAGAAAAACATCACTATCTCAACGCTACAAACAAGCTAGCACATAACAAGGAAGCTGCAGTCTCCCAGTCTGGTGGAGTGTTGTTAAGGACTGCAGCTTTCTCTCTAAGGTCACTAAAGGCCTTATTAAGTGTCCATTAACCCCTGCGTGTTATAATGTTATCAACAGGGCCCTGGTATCGCTCATATACATGTCAAATGGAATCTCTAATGGTGGTTATTTTCAGTGGTGGTCCCAAGGTACCTTTTAAGTGACTGAGATGGGGATTTGACAGGTCTGCTTCCGTGTGTAGCTGTGATTAATGTGGCCTGTCAGGCAGCCGTAGTGGCGTCAGATGTTTCCCCCAGACTGTTTCTTCGGGTGGTAACTTTCCCTGAACACACGACACAGTAGACAGCCAGTCTTGTGTAGTGTCTCAAGCATGACTGAATACACAGGAAGAGCTGAGGGCCGTACTTTGTCCCAGGTTGATTGGCTGAGGATTAACATGGGCCTTACTGGCACTTAAAGTCCTTCTTTGGAGGGTTATACATTTCAGAACAGGCTTGTTAGGTGGCACTTGCTTTTAAATCCCTCCTTCTTCTTTATGTGCTTTCTCCTACATCAGTCAGTGCTGGTGTGGCGGCTCACCGGCCAGGCAGAGGAAGGCTCTGTGTCAGGAGGGAGAGAACAGCCTTCACCAACAGCCAGCTGCTGGAGCTGGAGAAGGAGTTCCACTTCAGCCCTTACCTGTGTCGTCCTCGGAGGCTGGAGATGGCTGCCGGGCTGCAACTCACCGATCGCCAGGTCAAGATCTGGTTTCAGAACCGCAGGATGAGGTACAAGAAGGAGCATAAATTTAGAAAGGCGGCAGCTTCGTCCCAGTGGTCTCCCTGCAACCCCTCGCGCAGCTCGAGCTCATGCGCGGACCTCCTGACGTTTCCAGGTGAATGTGTTGTTAGAACTTCCTCCTCTTGCTCAGAGCTGCACTCCGTGGATTACGCTCCTGTGTCCTCCTCCCTCTTTGGCTCTCACAGTGACTCGAGCAGCGGTCAGTGCTTTCACCCTGCGGACCTGCCCCATCTGAGCTGCATACTTCCATCTGTTGCAAATGGTCCACCGTCCTACTGTACGGGCGTAGATAGTCATCACCATGCTGGCATTTCAAACTGGCCCTAGGGCCCCATAATGGCCATCCCTCCTGTGCTCATCAAAATCTCTATGATACATCCACTTTCACTTACTTATGAAAGACTGGAGGATGCCTGATTAGCATCCCTAGGTTGAAATCCCTTAACACACCAGTTCACCATTCATGAAACATTTTAATTAAACTACGTGAACATATCATAATTAAAGGAGAGCCACAGTAATATCATTTATGTTTCTCAGGCACTGCGACGGAAGGCTGCAGGTCTCCAAACTTGCTGCTCATATTGTACATACACAGCATGCAGGAGACATTTGAGTAATTAATAATTACATTGTTTTGCTGTAATTTTGTGGCTGTTACATTTGTACTCTCGTTGCATGTTTAATGCACGTGGTAATCATACTGAGTGAGTTTTCTATTCCCCTCTGTTTTCAGATAATAAGTGGTTGTCATATTTTCTAAGTGTCACATTAGGCCTGTTTTTCATTATGTACTTCAAATAGCAGGTCATTCGTGTAAAATGTCTTAACTGTGAAATGGGCAGAATAATGTTCATATTGAATGATGTTATATTTTTTGCTAAAGCCATTAAAGGATACGGCAAGTCTTTGATACTGTTCTTGATTAATTGAGATGTCACATACTGTACATGCTAAATAAATGCATTTGGGAAAACTGTAGCTCATGTGCAATGTTTACCCTATTCATCGCTGATCAGAATTACATTTTTTCCAGCACTATTTCATGATTAAGGGTTCCTGGATTAGATCCCAAGTGGAAAAAAATGAGAAAGATTTTGTAATCAAATTAAGGCATGCTTTAGATTCATTGAGAACTCTACAGTGTTGTGCATTGCCACATAAGCCTCTCCCTCCCTCCTGCCTCCGAGTTCTCCACCATTAATCAATGAGACAAGGCAGTCTTTCCAGCACTCCAACCACAAGCTCTGAACCCACTGGGCACCATGACAAGATCTCTTGCCTCCTCCTTCCCAACCCTTGCCTTTTCAATAGCCAAATTGTAGTGTTGCAAGTCGGGGCTCGCCTCCCTCTCAGGGGGCATGTTGGTTGTGTAGCTTAGAAGCCCTTCCAGCAGCCCATAGGCCACAATAGACCAATGAGGTTCAATCACTAATGACAACATATTATCTTAAAGAACAATGAGGAGACTTTGTTTTTTTAATAGCATCCTTTGTGCCATTATGACATATGGATTCTCAAATGTAAATGATGTCACTGCAATGTTATTTTCCTCATGCTATTTTTTATTTCAAAAGCTAAATTACGCACCTGGGGAATTATGTGTTTATTTGACAGAAGTGGGTCACAGGTTCTCTTGGGTCTCAACAGCCTTACACGTCAAAGATAGACATCCGCTTTCATGATGAAGGAGTGAGCCTCCTCTTACACTTGATAATGTGAGCCGTAGTGTCAATATTCAATTAGACACGCTGACAGCTTTATATCAGTAGCCTTACTGTAAATGAACTGTCACAGAGGAGTACTGACAGGTATGAAATGGGGAAGGTAAGGAGGAAGCTGATCCCCTAGTGGTGCTGAATAGAGTAACTAATTTATTAGCTAATCAGTCTGTGGATCAGCTGTCATTTGGTAATAATTTGACACTGTTTTCAGGAGTTCTCAGTAGGCGTCAGGGGAGCTATATAGCAGCTAGAACTCTAGACATTTTGAATAAAAAATAAAAATAATGTCTACACCACAGCTGTATCAAAGGGGTGGTGACAGCTGGGTAATTCAAGAGAAAAGTAATAAAGGCAAGAGAGAGAAAGAGACAAAAACAAGACAAAGTTCTTCCCTTCATGTATGTTCGCCCACACAGAGATAGAAAGAGGTGGGATTGTGAAGAAGAAGAAGCAGACAGTGTTGGATTCCTGAGATTCTTTCATATGCCGGGTGATTTATGGTGTTAATGGTGCTGAGGCTCAATAGGACTTTTACCTCTGGTTCCTCGTCACATTCTCCGTCCAGACGCTAAAAGCCGGGAGGATCCACACACTGGAGTGCAGTAATTCTGTGGATGGGGTCAAGGAGGATCCCCCAGGGTCAAGGAAAGCCCCCCCTCTCCCCACACACACACATACACAGGGCCCCACTGCATGGGGGGACATTACAACATTAAGTTATCTAGTTGCTCTCACACTGGGTCACTCCTAGTTAGCAACTAAAGTCATTATTTCCCTTTTACTCACTTGACCCCCTCTCTCCTCGATGACATCTGTTCTCTGGGGGAAGATCTGCAAAGCCAAAAATCTTTACATGTGTTTTTAAAAATTCTGGACTTTGATCAGACTGGTGCGATGCATTAAGCGGATCTTTGAAGTGATAAATGATGCCAGCCGTTGGTGCCATGAAACCAGCTTTGGTTACGGTCCATCATTAATTTCTGAATTTTTGCGTTAAGTCCTTTACAGTGACTAATGTACCACTGTCCCATTTGCAGCTGTTGTGAAAACAATTTTGGGGTTAGACTTGAAAAATGCTCTATGCATCAAGACTTTTCTTAAGCTGCCATGAAAGCAAAACTACTGTTTCCTTAACAAAGACTTTAGGCTTTAGGTATTTAAGAAAGCATTTACCCTTACATTCAACAAACGTAAAGCCTGAAGCTCATCATATTACCATCAAAGTAAGCTGCTAGTGTCTATGGAGTCTAATGTTATGACGTAGTAATACCATTCATTATATGGAGATCACTATCAGAGGAAAGAAAAAAGAAAAAAGAAATAATAATAATAATAAATGTCTACATGACAGCCCGTGCTCTTATTGGTGTGTAGGCTCTACCTGTTTATTCTCTGATCAGTTGGTGAGCTTAAACAGAGGTTCCTAATGCCAAATGCACTTATTTTCACCACTAATTAATGCCAATGATATTGATGATGATATTTGCCAATGATTGTCACACTGAACAACATTTAATAAACTGGAATAAACAGCCTTGTATTTATTTACAATTTATTTCTTTATTAAAGTCATGCAAACAAGCCTTCATCCGGGCACAAGCAGAGTGATGTCCTACTCATTATATAGTGATTAAGGAATCATACCCAAGTGTGTATAGGAGGTTCAAGCAAGCAATGAATTCTTATGTACAGAATGTTTTCCATTAAAGAAAAACAAAGGTTTACATCATGACATAAAACACCACAAACCAGCAATTAATGGAACCAAAACCAAATGAGAAACCCAACTTTGCATTAATTTACTTTATCTCTTAAACAACTGTGCACTTCAAAACATAGTCATTGTTGAGGTTTATTCTGTCATGAAACAGTATAGACATACTTGCAAATTGATGTAGAATGTTTTGAAAAAAAGATTTGAGAAAATATTTTTTTATAAAATACCTTATGTACACAGACCAAAATTCAAGATGTAGAAATACCATAAAAATCACACTCAAGTCACACAACTCTTTGCCAGTGCGCCATGGTCTGTAAAAAAAAATAAAGGTTGAGTTCCCATTTTTTCAAAACAAAGCAGCAAATTGTACAGAAAACAACAAATGTAGATCCAACCTTTTTACCTATGAAAGAAATATTGTATTTGTTAAAGAATATGTTAAAACGGTTGGTTCTGTATTAATGGCCATTTATGTTCGCTTGTACAATTCTGTATCCATTAGTAAGAAATGTGGTGTTTTGTTAAATAAATAAATACATAAAAGATGTCCATTATGTTGTTTTGCAAAAGTATTTGGTGATTTATTGGTCACATGACTGATCAATGGATTGTATAAAGAAACTGTGGGGGTTGGAAATCAGATCTCACCCTGACTAAGAAACGTTTGGTGAATAAATGATAGTGTACCAGAGAAGAGTTGATCAGTGTGTTTTAATTTTGATGGACTTGCATTGAAGCTCACACTGCTGTCCACCTCTTTGTGTTCTAAAAGTAAAAAATTATTATGCAAAAAACTGAAACATGACATACCTGATAAAAACACTCAAAGTTGCCTTTTACCAATTTCCACAGTGGTCCTGGCCTGTTCATGACAGCAACTGGGACTGATGTGCATGTGTGCTGCATGACAGACGGACAACTGCATTGAAATAAAAATTCCCCTTTTTACACAATATTGCAGATTATGATCAAGTTGGGACTCATTTTCAAGTTTCCTTTTAAATCATTGCGTTTGAATGATTTGTATGGTGAATATAATAGAAGTTGCACCTTTCAGAAGTGGTACTGTCACATGCAACACCATTGTCCATTGTTGAGCAAAACCCCGAACTTGTGTGCCTGGCCTTTAGGAGGTTTTGTTCTTTTTATGACCTATTAACCTTCTCAGCCTTTTCCCTCAACAGTAGTAACTTCTGCCCACCAGTCTCTCCAGGTGCTTGTTGCTCAAGATGATTGTTAAGTATCAATTTCCTGTGTCACCTTTATGGGTTTTATTTATTTGTCTGCTCCTTCACATGGAACAGAGCCTGAGCATTACTCAGGTGGATGGATTATAACTCTACTGCTACGACTCATCAATCTTGGAAATTTGACTTCCTGAATCTCATACAACTGTTACTGTCATATTACGGCACGGCATTATCAAGATCAATGACATTTTAAATGCTTCCCAGTTAGGGATGATCGGTGACAATAAAAAGGTAAGTTGGTGATGAAACTGTCTCAGCTGTGGTGAGCGGCACTGTGCACAGTGAGAGAGTCACCTGCTGGAGCTCACTTTTCCCTCTGAAGAGCACCTGTGAAATGAATTAACTTGTAATCACAACAGTCACCCTGTTAAATGTCACATGTTGACCGTTATTGATCACTCAAGAAGTATTTAACACACTATGGCTTTATTACACAGAATCTAATCAATGCACCGGTTGTAATCAAAACTATTAAAAAGGTGGCTGAAAATAATCTCACAAACAACAAAAGGACATAAAGATATTAACAGAAAAATACCAGAAATTATTTTTTTTTGGATATGTATCAGAATACTTATGTATATCCAGACATAAGACCCAGCTGTTAAATACGGAAAAATATGATAATATGATAATTCACATTTACTCCACATCTGTGATTGGTGTTGACAGTACTTCACACCTTCCAAATCCCAAATAAGTCTCTAGGGTCTAATTGACCCTAAACATTATCACAATGTAGGATAACATGCTTTATATTTCCTTGCCTGCAAATGACTTTTTGGCAAACAAAATGAACATATATTTGCTCATGCATAGCATCACATATAAAACATGAAATGTGTCATGGTCATTTCCATCGTTTATCATATTCATCACATGTTTCCTACTTTTTAGAAGAAAATCCAAAAGGTTTTTAAAGAAAACTAAATGTGTTGTGTTGATGTTGTTGTCTTTTTTTACACATACAGCAGTTGGGTTGTGGGATACCAAAACATGAGGAAGTAATGCTATTTTCACCACTACACAAGTGTTAAAACTGGGACATTTGACACAAGACTGACATTTTTATTTTATTGACTGCATGAATAATCCATGTAAAACCTCAAATGTTAAAACTAAACACTTCTGAAACAGTAACATTACAGCAGTGTCATTTTTCTACCAGTATCTCTGTAGTGACAGTGGTCCAATCATTACAAACTCATGATGTGCAGTCACAAGTTGTTCTAAACCAGATTACTTTACTCTACTGGCGACACCAAAGTTTTCCAAAAATGCAAAACATGTCTTGCCTGAAACCTGAACTTTGGGGAAATGTGTATAAAATTATGCATAAGACATCTAGAATATTTCCATTTGATGGAACATGCAGCCATAAAATTCATGGAGTCTTGTGGCTTCATTGAAGAAGCTGACACAAGTTTCATGACACTGCCAGACATTGTGAAACAAGATGATTTTAACTTTCAAACTTTTCCAAGGTTGAAATATTTCCTGTCTGCAGGAACAGTCCTTCCTTGAACCTCAACAGAAGATTGGTGCTTTATTAATACATTGTCATTTTTCTATCAGCATTTTGCTATTAACCATGATTAGCATGCACAGTAGACTACTGATTTGCATTGTGAGCAAGCAGGGGATGTTTAAAAAATTAAAAACCACTCCTTCTCTTTCCCTGCAGCGAAAACAATGCTGTATGAGGGAGAATATTACAGAGAGTGCTGCAATGATGAACATTTCCTCCTGTTTCATGTTTAACCCTGCTCATTTCCCACAGTAAGAACTCCGGAAACACACAAGTGTGCACAGCAGCTTGGGGGGAAGATGACTGATGGCTTGTTGTCATGATGTTTGGGATTCTGCCGACTCGAAGGCTCTTGGCTCACTGAAGCTGTGAAGCGCTGCGGCACATACTACAGGCTATTGTTGAAAAGTCCTGGTATTAGCAAGGTATTGCTTCATTGTCGCACTGTTGAGCCTGTGCAGAATTCAGTTATCTGTAATGTCCCTAGCCATTTGCACAGTAGTTGCATTGGATTTATGATTATGGTTCATGTACTGTGACAGATTTCATACCATTCAACGACAAAGTAAGGACAATTATTAGAATTTCACACCGTGAGTGGATGAATTTTCTTGTTTTCAAGTGGTATTCCCTGGATTGCGTGTGGGCTCGGTATACACTAAGCTAAACCTTACTTCTGATATCACCATTTTTCAAAAATGTCAATATTTGAAAAACACAGACATGCTATATCAATCATAGAGATAGCCATCTTTCAACCGGTCAATGTGCCCCTCTGTGTCTGCTTGTGCCTCAGCCCTGCTCTGACCCTTTCTCTCTTGCTTTATTCCTCTATGCCATATTACAGCTCTATCATGATGCCACATTGATGAGCCATGAGCTCCATAAACTTGGCATAGATGGCTATCATCTTCCTGAAACTGCATTAACGGCAGTGACCTCTCTGGCTGGTGGTGACAGGCGTCTGTCAGCGCTGGTTAATTCCCAGTCTTGTGACGGTCAAGAGCTGACATATAATGAGGCCTGACAGTGTTGGAGGGCTAGACAAGGGTCTGGTGTCAACAGCGGCCACAGCATCATGTCAGCAGCGGCAGGATGAGGGTTCAGTTCAAGCCGTGGAGGTAATCCGAGCACGGCCGCGCTGATCCCAGGGCCTCGACTGCCTATTGACACACATCAGAGCATGGACGCAAAACAAATTAGCATCAGTCAATATTCTCTCCCTCCTCCTGCCTTTCCTGACACAGCCACCCAAGTGCTGCCATGTTTACCTCACCTCCAGTCAAAACAATGGAGACAATAGTGATCATGATGGCAAACGCCTGCATTGACTTCTAAGAGGATGTTTTCTTGGTGGGGTGGGGGCACAGAATATTCACATTTCTGGTGTGTGTGTGTGTGTGTGTGTGTGTGTGTATGGGGTGCCCATTTGGTTTGGGGGAAATCAAATTCAGAATTGCAATCGTAGCATCCATTTCACGTAAATTGTGAGATTATTCTGTTTCTTATTTCTAATGCAGAGTTTGTGGTTTAGGGGATGCAAGTTGTCCAGAAGGAAGGAGCCTCAGCTAAAGTTCACTTGTGTTATTTTGTTTTATGTGATAATACAACTTCTGTTGCAAAAAGGTGCTGGGTAGTGATGTGGAACAACACTTCAAATATGCTAATCAAACATATGGCACTTCTAGGAACAAGCACTGATTGCTGTTCCTGTCCTACAAGATAAAAAGGTTACTTGGTTTTAAATGTAATTTGAATAAGTCCAAGGGCTGTAATAGGCTGAGGCTGCTGCATTTTGTAAAAAAGAAATCTTGCATACTAGGAAAGCAGAGATTGCTCACACCTGTTTTTTTCTCTTCTTCCTCTTCTTCTTCTTTTCCCCTGTCTGCAACCCCTTCCCGACCCCCCCTCCTCCCTCTGCTGAAAGCCATTACAGAAATACAATTTCTAATACCTCCGCACAGGTCTTCGATCGACTGCAAACAAATTTATATTCAGGCGGTAAACAGAAAGCTGCAGAGATTTATTTATTGAGTGTGGAGGAGAGAAACAAGCTAGCGCGTGAACCCTGAGTAACCTCCGAGCTGACATGAAGATGGATCAGTGCGCCCTGCAAATGCATGGAGAGAAGGGATATATTGCACTCAGTCATTCAGCACATCGCTGCCTGTAGAATCCCATTAACTCCCACAGCTGGGACCATATTTCTGTGTTGTAAGAATGCAGTTAGAAGTTGTTCATTACGCTGAATTATTTTGTAATTACTGCAGACTTAAAAACACACAGGAAATATTATTAAAATAAAACGATATGAACAGTAAGATAGTTGGTTTAAGGTTTTTATTAAATATCACGGGTGGTAGTTTAGTATAGTCATCTGACACTAAGGTATGAATAACATAATAATATTATTAATAATCATGTTCATGTTATGGCTTTCAATTAACTAATGTATGGATATTTTTTCTTTGATTGATATAAGCATACAGGGACAGGGGAAATAAATAAATAAATAGTTCCAATGAAACTACATTTAGGCAAATACATAATTGAATGTATATTTTGTTAAATTAATGAATAAAAAAATTAAATGAATTTTCAACATAATGTCAACTCATTGTTCGTCTTTAGAGATCATTTTAGTATAAAATAAACCGGGCTAATTTATTAGTTTTAGTTTAGTATTTTTAGTTTATTGGTACGTTTCGTGTTTCTTTGCGGTTGGATTTTTGGAACTGTCCCACTCCACCAGCAACACAATTAAACGGTTTGGAGATTGGACATTAATAACAGTGGACACTAACAGTGGCCCCTCAGAATATTATTAGCTTTATTAATTCCCGTTGTTTTAAATGTATGCGAGCGGACTGAGCGACAGTAATTTGTGTAGATTTGAAAGTAGGTCACCAGACCTCAGGGGGAAAAAAAACTTGTGCTGCACTGTGGAGCTCCTTGACATTTTCACTTCTGTGCTGCTGGCTGTGTTCCTACTGTTGCACCAAACACACAGGCCACTTGAATTGTTTGCATGCCTGTTTTTTATGGCAGTGCAGGCCCAACATCTCTGGATTTATACGTATATTTTCCATTTCGCCTGTGCATGTAGTTTGAGAGTGAATTTCTGTTTGTTTTTGTCACTCAAGTTTAAATAGCAGCATGGCGTTGTTTGCACGGTGATTCATCCCTGAGTAAACACACACAGATGTGTTGAAAAGTGCTAGAAACTGATTTTGGGGCTCCCTTTTCAGCAAGCACAAACGAATACGCTCTATTTTTTGGCGGAGGGACCAGCTATTCCATCCGAGGAGCTAGTTTAACCTGGCATGAACATGCCCTCTCTGTCAGTTACGACGTCTTGATCTCCACTCGGAGGCATTTTTGTATTTGTTCGAGGCTAATTACAAATCTGCTGCCACTGAACTTCTAAATACCAGCTGTCACGACCTCTGAACCCATTAAGTGTGCCTTTCACATGACCTAAGTCCTTTGCTAAAGAGGGCCTGGGGTTTTCATGAAGCCCTCGCCAATTTGCATAATCCATTAGCTTCATCAATAGGTCTATATTATGTTAATTCCGCTTTGCAAAGAGAAGTGTTCATTGTTGTGGTGAAAAATAATCAAACTACCAGAATTTGACCCAAAACACATTTTTCTTGAGGACCCCAAAAAACGGTGAAGGATACTGACAATGTCTGGCATCATGGCCTACCTGTCTGCATAGGTGAGAGGCCCATAAAGGCCTTCAATGTAGTGAGGATGAACTTCCTTGCTGCCTTTAAGGTTATTTTTTGCTACGGCCTGCACGGTGCCACTCACCATTAAAATATTGACCTGAAGTCAGTTTCACAACGCGCGGCTTAATCAGTGTGTTGTCCTTTCTGATGACAGAGATGTCCAGCTATTGGCCAAGACCAGGAGGGCACGTCATCTCCATCAATCAGGGACTGCTGTTTCTCCTCTGAGGAATGTCCCTGCGGTCGGCCAGCAGCCTGACCATGCGTTACTGGATGCGTGAGAGGCCGGGCATGAAGTGAAACCCCGTCCAATGATTATGCAGGGGAGAGGTGATAATGACTTCCTATCAAGAGTTAACGGCCGAAGGGGAGAGTAGCCCTCTGTTCACGGGCTGCTGCCGAGCAAAAGAGGTCATAAACGGGGACCTAGACTGCGGGACTCATCCTGAACTCCACAGTCGTGATGAGGAGGGGAAACTGGAGGCTGAAGTTGCCTCAGGATTTAATACTCCGCAACCCCGGTATTTAACTCTCTCCAACAGTTTCACTCTGTGCACCTCTTTGGACAGCCCTCCTCCTCCACCACCGTGTGAGACTCTCGAGGGCTTCTCGACACCGGCCTGCCCACACTCGTCCCGTGTCCCCTGGCGGCGCAGGGCGCAGAGGCAGGGCTCCCCAGGACTCGGATACTGCGCATCAAATAACAACGAACCGCTACAATCCGCTTTTGGGTCGCTTGCAGAGCAAATTCAAATATATTCTCATAATGGCCCCGAGATTAACGTCGCCGTGGGAAGTTCGGCCAGCGCGGACTGTAAAGCCGCTGATGTGGAAGTAAACAGTAAAACTTTCGAGTGGATGAGAGTGAAGAGGAGTCAGCACCGGGCGGGTAAGTTTTTGTCAAGGGAGACTGAGCAGGAGAGGAGGGGGAAAAAACAACCTTCAGACGTTTTGGCTAAGTGTAGCCTATACAGGATAATTGAGTTTATTTATAGTTTCAAGCTCTGGATAACTTTCATACGCAGTTGGGAAAGTTTGGCTGAAGTTTTCTCTTCAAGCTGGAAAAAAAATAGCTGACTCGTTTTGTGCGTCACCTTACACAAATCCCTCCGTCACCAACAAACCAAAGTTGAATTTAATAAAACAAATTAACAATAATTCTCCACTCTTTAAAGCAGGTCAAAAGGTTTGAAAGGCAGCAACAGCTATTTACTCGACGCCACATTTGAATATGCACATGTTACTATTTCCCTAACGGTTCCATGTTAATATAAGTCTGTTAGCTCATTTAACACATTCGCTCCACCCACTGTTACAAGAAGGATTTAGACTGTACACAAAGATGTTGAAGTACAGTAAAAGGCCTGCTTAGCCACAGTGTGTATTCAATCCAGAAATGATCAATTATTTACCCTTGCCCTTACTAACCAGTAGCTTTGAATAATGCAGCAGACCACTGCCTGTCCAGACTCACAGGAAGTTGAGTAAAACTTACTCTTGTGAGCTGGAGTGCTCCCTGAGTATTGATTAGTTGTCTGTTTGTAATGAAAGCCCTTGTGTATTGATTTCAGTTTGCAGCACCTTTACATGTGTCCACCTTTTTAACATAATTGCTGTCACAGATCATCATTCCCCTGACTGATGAGTTCTGGGCAGAAAGCCCACAGAAGAATACACATCCCAGGCTTGAAAAAATACAGATAGCCTACTAATGTGAAAAATGCCTATCAATCCTCAATTTTATGTGAGTTATTGTATCTTATATAGATCCTTCATTTGATCAATAATGTCAGCTGACTGACTGGATGCTGTACTTGGGTTGAGTTTCATAAATTTTACATGGATGAAGATTTACTACAATGGTGGTCCAGTCTTTTCTTTTTTCAACAGCACAACCTCTGTCTGCTGTGAGCCTGCTGCAAACCTAAATGTTCACTGACCAAATATGCAGGCTGGTCATTACCACAGACTGTTTGTGGTAAAAGGCCCAAGTTCCTCTGAAAGATTTCACTACAGTGTTGCATGATGCAACTAAGTACAAACTGCAATTTCCAGCTTTTGATTTGATTCTTGCATGCTCAAAATTCAGATTAGTGGGTAATGTGTTGTGCACTGGCACAGCTTGTGAAACATACTGATTAAGGCAGGTGTAGAGAGGCAAAAGGTGACTCCTTTGATTTGACTTGGAATGTGCAGCAAGCACAAAAAGAACATTAAAATCCAGATTAGTGGGTAGCAATGTGCATTCTCACACCTTGATAAACATTTTTCTCAAGAGAAGCAATATGTGACATTGGTTTGTCATAAATAATGCAATGTTGTAAGATGCCACAAACACAAAACTGCCATTAGCTTTTCATGACCTACTTGCACCTGCTTCAGAATTTAGAACATTTCTCTCATAATGCCACTGTGAGGGAGGCAACAATCTGACAATAACACCTTGGATTGGCCTAGGAGTCATTTTATTCATAAAACACATTAGCCACTCATCAGATCCAAATCCATGCACTTTAGAAAGCCATTTGCTCACACCCGCCCACACACACATAGACATCTCGCAGTACTGTTAGCATCTTTGTAACCTCTTTCTGTATCTCTCTGAAGGCGATCATCTGTAGGAGTAACTCATTAGCACTACTGTGTAACTTGTTAGAAGAGTCATTAGCGAAAGTATGCTTTCCTCTGGAGGTTGTATTGGTTTTGGCACAAACCAAAGTCTTGCGTATTCTTCCATGTTGAAAGGCCTCCACAGACCTGCAGCAACCTGATCTCCTGGCTCAGTGTGTATACTCCCAGTGCGTCATTCTTCAATTATGCTTTGACAGCACCTGAATTACTGTGGGCTGGATGCCCAGATGACTGAGGCAATGTGTATTGATCCATCCCTTTTCTTCTTCCCTCTCCTTGGCTTGGAAGGCCCTTCCATTCCCTTTGCTGGCTGGCTATTTTTAAGCGTGCAAGTCATTCCTCAAATATTTAGTTTGATTCTTTTATGCCTTCTGGCCGGCATCAATTCTATTATCTTTGGGGCCATTAATCAGAATGTGCATGTGATTTGCACTCCTGAAAGCTGAAGTTCATAATTACGTACAGTTCCTCTGTATTGGTTCTTCAAATTCTCTGCCCTCTAATTCGCAGGCTCATATACCTTGACATTCATTTTCTTAAAACACAGATGTCGACATTTATCCTATAACTGACCTTTCCATCTGCTGTGCTTTTCCAAGTGGCCAGAGGCCTGTTAACCTTCCTCCCTATGAATTGTGGTGGGAGACATTGCTCTACACCTGGCACACTGACTCCATTATGCAGCACCACATTTTCTCAGAGGCAAAGACACACTGACGACGTGCCCACAGTGTCAGCAATGAAAAATCAAGATATAGCTGCTGTTCCTGTCATTCATTGCACATAAGTAGCACAGACGATACTTTAATGTGTGACCCAGAAACCTCAGAGGGGAAAAATTGCAACATTTATCATTAATACAGTGTTTGAAAGGATTTGTAAACTGTTAAACTGTCATTGACACAGAAAGGCCTAAGGGCAAATTATTAACGATTCTGATGAATACAGTTAATGGACTGTAAACCTACAAAGTTGTTTTGAATCGCCAAACATTTCTCTGAATGTTTTTTCCACATTTCTGCAAAATGCAACAGCACATATTGTTCTACTATTTGTTGAACTTGTCCATGACACACATTAAAAGCAACACCTTCACACTATAGATGTGAGAACATTCAAGTCTTTCAGAGTCTGCAGTGTCGATTCAAATCTCCGTTCAATATTCAAGCTGTTTGATATTTTGTTGCATGAGATTACATTATTCTTTACAGGTGTTTCTGTTTTTATGGCCACGCCTGTAGATAACACACAATTCCCCATCTGCCTGTTTTGCAGCACCAAAAAGAGTTTGCAGTGTGCCTATAGGCTGTTGCTAAAGTTGATTCCTCGGTGAAATACATCTTTGATGCACAGACAGAAACATGGCTCCTGGGTGAAGACTTTAAATCAACAAACTGGCTCGGGGCCAATTCCCACAAGTCAGTTTCTTGGAAATCATTTTATGGAATGCTTGAATATTTGTTTAACTTCAGTATCCAACAAACCTGTGATTATTTATTCATGTCCCATTGTCACACAAATTGCCAGACCAGATAGAATTATAAAATGTAATATAAATGTTTTATTTAATTTCTGATTTTTACAAACGTTATAACTACATATAAATGACATTGCTCAAGGTTTATTATATAGGCCTATATTTTTTCCTGTTAACTCTGTAATTTTTCTTATTTCCTGGATGTGGCCATGGATAATTTTATTCAGAAGGGTTTCTGTACTTCTTTTGGGAGAGACCTCATTGATCTTGCCAATGACTGTTTCCTTGTCCTCTGTTCCCAGCCAGGGTGCACATGACCTGTGGGTTCTGTATTGTTGGCTCAGGCCTTGGTGCTGTGGAGGCTGGAAGCAGCAGCATCTGCACGGATGGCCATCCCACGATGAACGGGCCCCCGAGGACCATCTTCAGCACCAAGCAGCTGACCGAGCTGGAGAAAGAGTTCCACTTCAACAAGTACCTGACGCGGGCAAGGCGGGTCGAGGTCGCCAGCGCCCTGCAGCTCAGCGAGACGCAGGTGAAAGTTTGGTTTCAGAACAGACGCATGAAGCAGAAGAAATTACAGCGAGACGGGCTGCTCTCCGACCCAGGGCCGGACACCTGCCGCTCTCCTGGACCGTCCTCGCCGAAACACAAGACCCTGGACTCCTGATCCGCAGGAGCTGCATCATGGCGCTACACAGCGAGGGCGCCTGTGTGCAGATGTTTTGATTCCAGTTTGCATCGGTTTCAATCAGGCTTCACCTTTATTTGCTTACCACGATGGATGCTTATTGCAAGAAGCGCGATGGCAAGCTTCTTCATGCAAGAACGGGTCAAAACAATTTGTCATCCTCCCCGGCTTCTCGACTGGCGTTCTGATTTGAATATTAAAATTCAAGTCATTCCATTGCTCTCCTGTCTACACAAAGCAAACGAAGAAACAAAATTATATTAATTGTCCATAGAAACTGTGGCAGACTATTTGCTTATTTATTTTATATATTTATATTATTGAATATATCTATTACACAGGACGTGTACTTCCTTGTTGTTTTAAAAATAACAAAACTTATTATTTAAGGTCTACATTTGAAAATCATAAAGTAAATACATTTTTGATAGGTTTTACTAATTATTCTATCAAATCTCACTGTTGCATTTTCAATCAATTCAAGTTCCACGCATTATGTAATATGCGCATTACGCATTTTAAACATTATTTCCCCCCCTATTTCTTAAAAAATATGTTTGTCTGTTTGCCCACATTTGAGGGAAAAGTCAGATTCACCTGTTGTAGATGTCTACAACAGGTATATAGGCTATTTTACGTGAGGTGTTTGCAGATAACAGGTTAATTTAGCACAGCTTCCATGCTGCTGCAATGTTGTATATTCAGTCCGGTTTTAAAGTTTTCATTATCCTTCGTCCACGGAGGGATTAAAATGCCATGATTGACTGATAGATTTATCGACCGCTCGTATTAGGTGTATTGATCCGCGGTGATTCATCTATTTGAGGCACAAATCTGAGAGCGTTTGCATGCATCTGTAACTGCATGTTAATGGAATGTAGAAACATCACGGCCGGGAGTTGTTGTGTCTTTTATTACCCCGATACATGCGTCTGAAAATGATAATTTAGCTTGAACACTCATGCGGGAGAGCAGACAATAAAACGCTGTCTGTGTTGTTTTGCAGAACAACCAATAAATTGTGTGGCCCCACCAGTTATAGGAACTAAATATTCCTTCCAGATTCACATTTCACCTCATATAAAATAAATGATTGTAAGCTCGGCCCTTAAACAGTTACCCCCCCACCCACCCCCACCCCCATCGCAAGGCGTTCCTGACATGTTAATGTCTACTCTAATATCAAGATATGGGCCATCAGCCATGTTAATTCTATGTGGGAATGTATGGGGAATATTTTCGTTTACCTTTCAATTAGCAGTGTTTGCACCGGATGTGAAAGTAACAAGATCCAAAGCAGACATTAATGACAACAAAGGAATTAAACTTAAAGCTTGATGTGTTAATAATAATACTAATAAAAAAGCTACAATGAACATTAATTAATAAGGTCTGTTTTAAAGCTTTAACAGGTGTTCTCATTGGCATTTGTCCTGTAAATATAATACTGCTAATAATACAATAATTACACATTAGACATTAGACTGTTGCACCTCTGGGTACAGGAGTGGACACAGAGGCTGCAAGGCCAAGCTAATATATGCAGTTACACCAGAGCTCACCTCTCACCTCTTGACCCTTGTCTTGCCTCGGGACAACGCTGACCCGGTCAGCGGCTCAGAGAGAGAAAGATGCACCATTAATTTGGGTGACCTCGAAGTTTGAGCTTTTTCTCTTTCTCTTTTTTCCCCACAACTCTGAACGCTTTTGTTCTGGTGGTGGGTCTCTGTGTCCACACAATAATATTTCATCAAGCTGAATAGAGGGGCGACCAGGCCATATGATAATTGTTCATAGTATAATTCCATACCAGGCCACATAATGCATTTTTTTCCTACACCTAGAGCTAACCTAATTTTTGCCCCATCTAGTATTTTAATAAGCCAAAAAATGTGCTCCTGGCTCACTTTATAAACTGGATGAAAGAGTCTTTTCACCCAGTAGGTTTTTGGAGAAGACTACAGGTTTATTTTTAATAGCAAAGTTGAAAAATTAAAGTTACCGGAGCATACTTAACACTTAATATGATTCCATGTCAGAGCCAGCATAAACAAAATTATCCATTACATGCCTGCTGCTTATATATTTCATGCATATCTGCTTGAATAATTTTAAAAGAATTTAGACATTAATCCCACTCCAAACAATATCTTTTATAAAAGTTCAAACTCAAAGATCTCCAGAGGAGCTTTTGACAGTACAAACATTTAAAAGTATTATTTTGTAATTGATAAGAAGGATTTTACATGTAAGCTAGACTAAAAATGTGTTGAACCCAATTTATTTCAAATTTGCATTTAGGCAAAATACACACCATTAAGGCCGCCTTACTCTAAACAAAATAGTACAAGTGGAATGTTTGACAAAAACATCCAATGTGTCCGTCTTGTTTTAATGCAAATAAGTGTGCATTTGTGAAGGTTATGAGTGTGATGATGATAACAATGAAATGTGATGATAAAGCCTGTGAATTTAAAAATGGTCTCTTGCGTCCACTGTTCCTATTGAGAAGTGTGTTAGGTTGACCTTATTAGAAACTCTTTTATCATCTTGTGCAAATATGTTCCCTTGCCACAGGGCTTCAAGTTAAAGGTTGTAATGTGCACAGAGGATGCTTGCATGTGTGCACTCAGAGATTTTAAAAGTTCCAAACTTATTTCATTACACTTTCTACTGTATAATATATTCACTTAGAAATACACAACAATTTAAAAATGTAGCAAGAAAATATGAGGAAGGAAAAAAGCCTAATGTAAATTATAGGGATGAAGGTGAAAAGAAAGAGTTGATTTGTTTTGGGTGAACTATCACTTTAATTTCATTTGTGGCAGCTTCAGCCTTTGCATCTCAATTGATGAAAGGCGAACCGCATTGTTTGTTCAGACCTGACATTTAGTTCGAAAGCATCTGAGTGTGACTCTACTCTGATGAATTTGTGCTGCTCTGTAATTCCTTCCTGAAGATGTACGGTTGGTTCACAAGACTGACAGCTGTGCTGTTCTTAAACGCAAGCAAACACATGGCAAATGGAAGGAAAATAAAACCAAAATAACTCAGCTCGAAATGTATTGCTGCCACAGGTAGCAGCAGTGGTGACATTGAACAAGTTAGAATTTTCTTCACCTTTATTTTTCTTTTCCCTTCCTTCCCAGCAATCATTTTTCACAATGTAATTCATTCCAAAATTTATTTTATTAACTCAATCATTTAAACAAATAAGAAACATATTTATAATGTTCAAGTAGAAAAGCTCAAACTGATTTGTAAAAGTAAAGTTACCTGCTACATGCTTTTGATAAAACACTCCAATTAAGATATCAAACTAAAACCAATGAAATAGTAGTTCATGATGAATGAGGCTATTGACAGTCTCAATTTTCTTCTGTATTGTCTTCTATTGCAAGTTAGCTGATGTGGGCAGCTGTTACTCCCGAGGAGCGCTGCGTGCATGAGCAATGAGAGAGCATATGCGGCTTACAGAATATCTTACATTACATTTTAAATTAACACATATAAGTGGGTTCCTCCTGAGCTCATTGTAATTAATGCTAAGTTGACCTAAAATTAACTTAATGCATAATATGCATGTAATATCCTCACCGGTGCTCAGGGGAATAAAATCAATTGATCAAGTTAAGCTCTTTCTAACTCTGTGTGAAGCACTTATAGATAACTCTGTTGTTGTTGTAATTATAGATCATTTGAATGCTCTCCTCGTTTTTTAGATTTTCTGCTCATCTGATTTTACTGTTTTTCTTTATTTGCAAAGACTTTCATGCACTATTAGTCTTTTTGATCTGGCTCATTCACGTATTTGACTGCCAAACAATTTGTAGATCAAGAAAGTTGAAATGAAGTGCACCTGCTTTTGTGAGAGTGTGTGTGCCTATGCATATTTGGAGGCCCTGTGTACAATTACACAAATATGTGTTTTGTTTCCTAGGTGCTACTAATAAAGCGCTCAAAAAGATACAAAGCACCTATTTGAATAATTGTTCGCTCACACGCGCATGCACTCACACATATACAAATCCATACATAACACATTCTGACAGAGCTACACTGAGCAACATGCGCACCAATCCAGTCCTTGCCTCTCCTCTCCTACTCCACTCCAGGGAGCAGATGTTTGGGGACAGCTTACAGCCTCAGCGAATTTCTGTGTACAAAGCAAACAGCAGCACTCAGCACTTCTGGCTGCAAAGGGAAATTTGCTCTTGAAAGAGGGTGGGGTGGGGTTTAGTCAATGTAAGGTATCATGAGGATGGGTGGAGAGGGGGGAAAAAAAGAAGGGGCGCACGCAGAGGTGAAACTGTGTCAAGGTTGCAAGTCTGTTGCACAGGAAAATTCCCTGTTTCCTGAGACATCTGGTACTGTGTGTTGGAGCAGTGTGGGCCACCATCATGGACAGTACATACAGTATCTCTCTGTGGCATCATGCAGTATCAGTACAATCAACCAAGGTGGCCCTGCTACATATCTGAGTGTGTGGAGTCTGTCTGACCTCTCCCGTGCAGCTCCATAGTGAGTAGTCACTAGTTTGGATTGCCCTTTCAAAAGTTGCAGACAAGCATAAAGGAAATGGGATATAAAGGGGGAGAAACAATGCAATGAGCCTTCACAGAGTTTGCTGATACTGCATCTGAGACATCAGCTATAACATAGGACCAGCTATACTAATGCCATTGATATAAACCACTGATTTAATGGCACTGGTGCTGTGGTGGTATGCTGCATGTGCTCTCTTCAGGTTGTGTCCTGAGGAAAATTGCAGTATCACTGAAAATATCTATATCTCTATATCTCTTCTGGCTGATGGAATTTTTGTTATTTTATTTATATTTCACGATACGTATGTGCACGATATGAAACAGCTTAAATATATGCATGTTTTTATTTATTTTTTTCCCTCCAAAATGTTTACAGTGCCGCGTTACCACATATGCTCAGCAAGATGCTGCACACAAGTCTTATGAATAGGCTCAAGCACACACTCTTATGTCCAAACGTGTGCAAGTACACACATTTTGACCTCTCATCAGTGTATGATAATCCCTAAACAAACCATCATAAATGAGCCCTGCGATGCTTATTTGTCTGAACGAAGGCAACCCCCTCCTCCACCGCCCCTGGGGTGAGGTTGCCATAGTGACAGATTCATAGACATATGGAGAGAGAGGAGAAGGGGAGCTGTGTTGAAGGGGTGGGGCTGCAAGGGTGAGGTGGAGGGGAGGGGGGGCAAAGGAGAAGGGGAAGGGTACCGGTTTGAGGACTTTGGCGCTCTGTCTCTCAGATGTCTCTTTGTGTTTCATCTGTCAATCAGCCATCCGTGTCAGTCTGTGCTCAGTGAGGGAGCAGTTCATGAACTTTTCTCAATCAAGTCTCTGTCAGGCGCCATTTTGGCTGTATTTCATAAGGGATGAATGAATCTCGTGCTGACTTCACAGCCCAAATAACACAGTATGTACACCACAGGCAAATAATTCAGTTGTAATGCGTGTTAATAAATTGATTTGGAAGGCTGTGTTCACATTTTGCAGTCTCTGGCCATTTTGTTGTTTATACTAATGACCAATCAACATTAGAAAAACAAACATACAGATGTTTTTGCCCCTCACTAATTAGATTCAGATGATGTAATAAACCCTTCAGCCAACCTGAGGACAGCTTGACAATGGACAGGGAGAAGGGGAGAGAGGCAGAGCAAGAGAGAAAGAGAGAGGAGATGGGGGTGGGGATGAAGCGGCCATCAGGACTGGCCTTGCTGCTATAAAAACACATTTTTTCATCGGCCATTTTATGCAAAAGGGAAGACCAGGTGCTCAATCAAACCTCATGCCTAGTGTTTTATTTTTCATCTTCACCCCTCCCAGTGCTTCTCCCCACAAACCTTCTGTGTGCCTTCCCTTTACCCTCGTGCCATTCTTCTCCTCTTCTTCTCTCTCTCCATGTCATTCGTCTTCCCTCCTGCCTCTCCACTGCCTGCTCTCCAACTGATATGAGAGAGTGACCCTTTGGCCTTCAGGGGTCAAGTGATACAAGGTCATTGGCAGGTCATCTCTGCTGACTGGCTGACCTCTAAAAGGACTTCTGAAAGGAGCCAATCAGGTCTTGCTCCTTCCTCCCTAAGGCGGATCCCCCTTCCCCAGCTCATCAGCAGCCTGTGTCACATGACCAGGGCGAGGCGTCAGAGGGAGGATGATTAATGATGCTTTTAGTACCTGTTTAGAATGAAGCTGTCCACACTGCACTGTAATTACCCACTCCCAGGCGGCAGCTGCCCAACATAATTGCTTTTTGTTTGTTGACCTGGTTTATTGAGGAGAAAGATGGCATTGGCTGGGTAAGATGGTGCTATGTACAGTATGCAAAGGTGAGGATGTATGTATGTTCAAAATTTGGGTGACAGTGTGTGTTTGAGATCCATGTAAGCTACAAAAGTATGAGCAAGAAGGTGTGTAGCTCAGCTGTGTGTGTAGATAAGGGAGATACAAGTGACAGAGGACACAAAGGTGCTTCAGGCTCTACAAATTATAAATCAAAGTATTTATGTAGGTATGGTATGTAGCCACAAATGCAACCCTGCCACGTAAGGTCAAAGACAGCCACAGACCTCTTGGGTAAGGTTACTGCATACCACTGGAATAAACAAGCATTTCACTTGCACAGTTAAGGAGGGGTGTGTTCTGTCACGCATAATTTATGTAAACATCTCAAAAGCAAGAGCAGTGTGTTGCTTTGAAAATTCAAAACTAAGTTCAGAAGGTCAATGGAATACCGCACCTAGAGATCCCCCCCTCTTTTTTGGCGACATGCCTAAGGCAAATATGAAAATTTCGGAACCTGCGGCACATGCCACGAGGACAGTGACAATGAAACCCAGATAAACAGGCCCTAGTTTGACCTATGGAAAGCATAAATTTACCACCCATAAATCCTTGTGCGTTTCAGCTCCGTTTGGTGCATTTGCCATGCCTCTCTACCCAGACAGAGAGAGGCAAGTGTCGGGTATCAGTGCTGCTGTATGAGCAGCTTTCATCCTGCTCCTGGTTCTCACATAACTCAGTCGTGCAGCCTTTATCACCGGCTCATAAATAACTAGGCTATCGCCTGATAATGTCCGCTTAATGCTTAGTCAATAAAGCCCACGGTAAGAGGGGCCTTTTTTAGGCTCTCTCCTGTACATAAATATAAACAGAGCAGTAGATTGATGTGATGGGCAGGCTCTTTCTACACTGGGACAAAAAGAGGCAGCTTGTGGACCCAGGAGCTGAAGGTGGGTTGTTGGGCTGCAGGTGTTTAGAGGAGATAGTGGGCTGTAATGAGGGGGCTGCAGGAGAAGGGCTGAGTGGATAGCCTTGACTGATCACCTGTGAAAGGCACATATACACACAAATGATAGCACGCAGACACTAACATGCAAAGGGACATGCACACATAGGCACACTCATTCACACACCCACACACACACTAATACCATCATTAGTTAACCCATTGGTGTCGATGCCTGGTGCACAAAAGCTCATCCTCCCTATTTGAAGGGCACGAGAGCATTATGATAAAGAGATGCGCAAATGAACTGCTTTTGTATCTTGTTAGGTATATCTTCTTAATCTATTGTCACATTTTCAAAGCCAACCAGATGCTGCTACCACAGATTTATATCCAGAGAAGTAAGTTTCATTGTCTTGTGCACATTGCAGGGACAGTTATCGACCATTCGCACTAGTCATCAGACCATCCAATTCCAATGCGGCGCCAGGGGCAGCTGTAGTCAGTGTGATGGCTGGAGTGGGATCAGGCTGAGCCCTGGGGAGACAGAAGAGACTGACAGGGATGTTTTCGGGGTTGAAAGAAGGGGCTGATTGTGATCCATGAGTTACTCAGTGCAGCAGCACCTGAGCTTGGAGCAGCAGCTGGAAGAGATGGGCAGGGTGACACAGAGTGGGTTCAAAATGAGAGGAATGATCCAATCAGCTTATATTGACATACTTGGTGGGGTGCAGTTGGTGGTTTAGTTGTTATATGAGTGTTTACTCTACACTCATTTTGTCAGGGCTAGTTCAGCCCCATGATTAGGCAATTCACCAAATAGGGCAGAAATTCTTGCTAATTTATGTCCACATTTCAAATCATGTTATGAAATCTTGGAGTCAACTGAATGTGGATTTGTTTTGGGGATCATCTAGGTCCTTTTTCTCCCTGACTTAAGCTTTCATTATCACCAAATGAACATAATGGGGCTATTGAAAGAGACATTTGTGTCATTTCATTATGGCTAAGCTTGCCAAAACCACATTGGCTGATGATCACTCTCAGCCCAACTATGACATTGACGCACATCAACATTCCACTAAATTGCAAGATGTTTAGACTAAAAATGAACTGATTAAATTGAAAGGGACCTCCTAAAACATTTAGTTTTTACTCATCCTAACTAATGATCAAAATGATATTTTTAATTCAACCAAAAAATGTCTTTAACAACCAAATGCACAACAAGGCCAAACAGCTAACACAACAAAAAAAAATCAGTTCATTATTAATGCATAAAATCTTAGGCAGTGTAATTGAAATTAATGACTGACCACCAAACCTTGAAGTTTCTGGAAAGTCTATTTCCTCACTACAGAGATGCTAGTTTCTCTTAGCATAGCCCCTCTCTTAATATGCTAGAGAGTTAACAGTGGTGCAATGGCTATTTTTCATCAGAAGGCAAAGAGATGGGATTATTAAAGATGAGTTTGTCTGACTCTAGGTAAGTAATACAATAAACTTATCTGATAAAATGTTGAGTGTACTTAAACACATAATACCCAGCATGTCTGCAAAAGCATCACTTTCATGTCATGTCCTCATAATGGACCTTATTTATCGATATTTGCCTCATTGAATTACACTGGAAGATTATACCAATTACCAGTTACCAAATACCAATACCAATTGTTTTTG